CTTTCCATCTTCTTGAGTTTCAAAGTTACTTGGCCTGACATTCTTTTCATTTAAGTAGACTACCTCATGTACCATCAATTCTTCTGCCTCATGTGTTTCATCATCTCTGTTTTCTTGTGCTTCCTGAAGCTTAAGCAATCTATCCGGGCAATTAGAAGCAAAGTGACCCAACTTGTCACATCTATAACAAACTACTTTAGATCTGTCCCTTTCTTGCCTTCCGTTTTGTTGGTTATTAAACCTACCTCGTCCTCTTCCTCCTTGAGAATATCGTCCTCCTCTGCCTCTGCCACCACCATAGCTGCCTTGGTATGACTGTGACTCATGATTTGCATACATAAGTTTTCCCTGATCGGCTATTGGTTCTTCTTCTTCATCAAGAACTCTTTCTTCATATGTTTTTAGTCTCCCTACTATATCTTCAAAGCCTGTTTTCTTGAGATCAAGAACTTGTTCAAGTGAGGCTACAATATGAATGTATTTCTTTCTTGGTACAGATCCAAGAAATTTCTTGACCAGTTTTGTTTCATTAATTTTCTCTCCTAGGGCTGCAGCTTTGGTGGCTATTTCTGAGAGTTTCCCTGCAAACTCATCAATACTCTCTGTTTCTTTCATCTTAAGACGATCAAAGTCAGACATTAGGGTTTGAAGTCGAGCTTCTTTAACTCTATCTGCACCTAAGTTTCTTGTTTTGATAGCATCCCAAACTTCTTTTGCAGTTTCGTATTCTCCAACCTGCAGAATTAGTGATTCTGGTATTGACTGGAAGAGAAGGGCTTTTGCTAAGTCATTCAGATCTCCATCTGTTGATCCGGGTTCGATGGCTTCCCATGCTTTGTTTACTCTAAGCATCGGTTTCATCCTCATAGTCCACACTGTATAATTCGTGGTAGTGAGCATCGGACATCGTATAGATGAAGAGCCGATCTCTTTAGATTTCACAGGGACTATCTCTCCCATGTTTTAGGTTTTGTACAAGAACTCCTTTTCTTGTATCCCACACACACGTTTGTAACTCTGTTTCGTATTGTATATCTAGGTGGTATGATTCAATAGTTGTGCTCTGATACCAATTATTGAATCAAACACAAAGATATAAGAACAAGATTATGTAACCTAAAGAACACCTTTTCTTTATTGCTCAAGGAAAACTAACTCAAAAACCCTAAGCATACACAATCTCAATCTCTCTAAAAACACATAGGGTTACCACATCTTGGTACCTCTATATATAGAGACTTTAAACCGACTTACACACAATAGGATTAGATCTAAACAACTTTCTAGATCCTTCTTATTATAAAACCGACTTGTCTTATAATACCTTGGGCCTCAAGCCTTTAATCTCCTTAGTCTTCTTTCAAACTTACACCAACAACAACAGCCTTCCTATCTTTCCATAAATCAGAAATCGGAATCTCATTTCCTTTCAAATCCAAGATTTTCACTGTATCTAGCAAATCAGTAGTATTTTTCCCAATTTCAGTTCCTGTGAAGAATCAATATAATCTAGTAAGTAATCTAGATTATACAAATTAAGTATAACATAAAGAGAAGACACTGAAGCTCACCAGAAGCTCCTCCGGTAATGGCCGACACAACCACGGCGCTACGTCGGAGAGAGACACTACGAAAGTGAGATTTGACCGAATAACCAGGAAGTAGTGTCCCTAATCCATGAATCGTCTTCAGATTCGGCTGCAGAGTTATGGGCGTGATCGTCGACGACGACGACAGAGAAACCGCCATTGTTGCTTCCTGGAGAAAGCTAGAAAAAAAATAAAAAAAATCCCAATTTTAATCGATTCTCAGACCGTTAACAAATCTAGTGGAGTTCAGTTATTACACGTGTCGGATGACGTAAACAAGATCTCAGCGAAAAAGTCATATGCCACGTCAGTTCACTTAAGGGCAAAATGGGAAAAGAATCTAAAGATCCTTTTAAAAAGCTAATGGTCGGGCACGTACTTGTTTAGGGTAAGCTCAAAGCTCAAGCCGCTTCTATCTCCTACATTTCTCTTTCTGCAATGGCGAGAATAGTGCGTGTGGCTAGATCCTCCTCCCTCTTTGGCTTTGGAAACCGTTTCTACTCCACCTCCGCCGAAGCTAGCCATGCGTCGTCTCCTTCGCCGTTTCTTCACGGCGGCGGAGCTCGCAGGGATGTTGCCAAGGATAGGAATGTCCAGTGGGTGTTTTTGGGGTGTCCTGGTGTCGGAAAAGGAACTTACGCTAGTAGACTATCAACCCTTCTCGGCGTTCCTCATATCGCCACCGGCGATCTCGTCCGTGAAGAGCTTGCTTCTTCTGGACCTCTCTCTCAAAAGGTGCGACCTTTTTTGATCTTTCCCAATTCTGTTGCTGCGATTGAGATTGAGTTTCTCTTCTTAGTTCGATTTTAGATCCAAATAGTCTAAACTTGGTTTTTAGCTAATCGGGTTTCCATTTTTTTATCGTCGATTGGATCTGTAAATTTCTGTTGATCTCTCGATAGATCTAGTGAACTAAGTCCATTTTAAAGTGTTTCTAACTTCATTTGATCTGTATCATAACGGATCTATTCGCATAAATTAAAGTCAATGGCTTTGTTTTGATTTGTTATAGAATCTCTTGTAATGGTTATATAGATGTTATTCTAAGTTTACTGTTACTTGATGCAGCTATCGGAGATTGTAAACCAGGGAAAATTGGTTTCTGATGAGATTATAGTAGACCTATTGTCCAAGAGACTTGAGGCTGGTGAAGCCAAAGGTGAATCAGGTTTCATTCTTGATGGCTTTCCTCGTACCATGAGACAAGCTGTATGTATCATTCGTTTTTACATTGTTTGGCATATTAAGTTAATTTCCATCAACATTTCTAACATTGGATTGCCTTTTGCTTCAGGAAATACTGGGAGATGTAACTGACATCGATTTGGTAGTGAATTTGAAGCTACCTGAGGAAGTTTTGGTTGACAAATGCCTCGGTAGGAGAACTTGTAGCCAATGTGGTAAGGGTTTCAATATTGCTCACATCAACTTAAAGGGTGAGAATGGAAAACCTGGAATTAGCATGGATCCACTTCTCCCTCCACCTCACTGTATGTCAAAGCTCATCACTCGAGCTGATGATACTGAAGAGGTGGTTAAAGCAAGGCTTCGTATATACAATGAAACGGTAAGCCCCTCTCTGTTGTCCTTTTCCATTGCTAGTGTCTAACCATCTAGTAGATGAACTATCTCATGTGTTGATTTGTGTTTTTTCTTCCTTTTCTATATGCAGAGCCAACCTCTTGAAGAATACTACCGTAGCAAGGGAAAGCTTATGGAGTTTGACTTACCTGGAGGCATCCCGGAGTCTTGGCCAAGGCTACTGGAAGCTTTAAGGCTTGACGATTACGAAGAGAAGCAGTCTGCTGTGGCATAGTTCACAATCAGATCCCGGTATTTAAATTCTTTGCATGTGGAAGACATATGCGTAATCAATTTTGTGTTGGAAATAAAAGTAAAGAAAAAACCTTAGATTGTTTTCACCTCAATAGAAATAATCATACACACTTGCAAACTATTATTTTTCCATGAACCGAGGTTTCGGCTCCATAAGAGAAATATGCTGTATCATGACTGTTTGAGTTTGCTAGCGAGCAGTGACATTACAGGAATGTATGAATACTTCTACTCTACTTAATATGCATTGGTTTGATCTTTATGCTCTTGTGATATGTGTGTTGGAGAATGTGATGGTATTGCGGCTGGCCGAGCTGGCTGGTTAAAGAACTCTACCAGACAGTAAAGTAAAACAGCCGCATAGATCAAATGGGAACTTATAACCAGCTCTTGACTGTCCTAGAATTGGCGGTGCGGGATAGAATTGTTCCTTACATTTTGGAAAAGATGCTCATTTATCGGTCATTGTGTATTACTTGCTCTGTTCCTGTATGTGATCAAAACGTAGCTTCTGTTTTACGTTTGCTCTCTGAGAAATTTGTGGTTTTTTTAAAAAAAATTCTTCCGACCGGAGTATGGATGGTGAAATCAGATTCAATTGAAAGGCGAACCGGACTCGGCCCATAGCAATTTTAATCACAGTGACAAACGTTTTACTTTTACTGAGAGGATTCGATAACTCGATGAAAGCTGTAATGTAGTTGGTTTTTTGACGCTAACCGGAATCAAACTCCTATCACTGAGAGGGTTTGATAACTCGATGAAAGAAAATTATTTTCATGAACGAAATATTGTGAAAACTTTAAAGATTTGATTACAGAAAACATCTAATGCAAAATTATTGAGGAATCACAAGACAAGGAAAAGAAGTAGAGATGAGAGTTAATAAGAAAAGAAATTCTTCACAAAAACTAAAACTCGTACAAAATTTAAAACATTGATTAAGCTTCAACAATCTTCTTAACTAACCTAACATATTAGTTAGACCATTAATAATGTCAACTCCAATATTTGTTGAAACTCCAATAATGTTAAAAAATTCCAAGCTAACAAAGTAACTACTGATAGGTTTAATAAATATTTTTGTTAAATGATCATTGGGTAGTGGTATTTAATGATATTTTATTAACTGACGTAGTGAATTTTTTAGTACAAGATGACTGAATTTTCATCATCTCTAATCTAGAGAGGTGAAACCGAAATTAACCGGATTCAATTTGGTTCGGTGAAGTTCAAATAAAATTCAGTTGGTACGGTTTAGTTCACGTGTTTACTTCGGACAGAACAAGCTCGTGCGCGTGTCAACAACCAATAAGTTTTGACGTTTTGTCGTTGGTCGCTGTAGGATTCAACTAAAAATGAAACGACACCGTTCCATTTGGCCGCGTTTTCCAACTAACTTTCAACTTCAACTAACGTTCAACGAGAGACCAATCTGTCTCCTCTATCTCTCTTTTCTTTTTCTTCGGCTTCTTCATCACTATAGACACTAAACGGACCTTGATTCATCCAACGTTCCCTATAGTGACACGTGTATTCATTACAGTGTCGGCCAAAGCTCAACGAACTCATACCAAGGAATACATCATCATCGCTCAATAATCAAAAAATCGGATCCGGATAAGTTCGGATCCATCAGATTTTCTTCGCTCCTAACTCCTAAAAAGGGGTTTGAGTTTCCTCAAATCCTTTTCACTACTTCAGTTTTTGCATTCACCGTGAGTGTTCTACTTTTGATTTATCTTTTGATATGATTCACTAGTCAAGTTTCTTTCTTTATGCTATAATTTGCAACTACTTTTCATGCTTTATAGATCGAGAGATCTTGTACGATGAAATTGATGTTTCTCCAATCATTTTTGTTTGCTTTTCTTTTCCTAAATTGGGCAAATGAGTTTTGTCACTTATAGATAACGAGTTGGTCTTTACCTATAGAATCTGATAAATATATCCCTTACGTAATTGATTAAGGTCAAGTAATGGAGGTGAAGGATGGTGAAAGAGTGGTAATAGCAAAACCGGTGGCCTCAAGGCCTTCTTCAAGCCCTAGCTTCAGGACATTCACTGAGCTTCTCACTGATTCAGTTACTGTATCTCCCCAATCTAATTGTCACGAGATTGTAGACGCTGCTATAAGACCAAAGACTTTGAGGTTCAACCAGCCAATTACAGCTTCAGTCTCATGTCCACGGGTATCGAGTTTTCTCTTTAATTCTTGGCATTGTTATCTTCTTTCCACATTGTAGTCTTGACTCAAATCTTTCTCATAATGTTAGGCTGAAGGAAAAGGTGTTGGAAATGGAAAGTCTTGTGATGATTCAGATAGCAGAAACTATGTCGTTTATAAACCGAAAGCTAAGCTTGTCTCCAAAGCAACTGTCTCTGCATTGGCTAATATGGTAAGTTGCTTTCAAAGCTATAAGATCACTGATTACGGATTTCGGAAGTCGTTTTAACACTTTTTTTTCTTTAGCTCCAGGGGAATCGGCAACAGACTTGGAGACAAACCGAAACAGTAGCCTATGGGAAGAGTGTGAGCCAAGGTACACATCGAGCGGGTTCTAATCTAGTCCAGAAAGTTCCATCCTTTACGGAATCAGAGACATCTATTGGTGACAGATCTTCAGTGGATGGATACAACTGGAGGAAATACGGACAGAAGCAAGTTAAAGGAAGTGAGTGTCCAAGGAGTTACTACAAATGCACACACCCAAAATGTCCAGTGAAGAAGAAAGTAGAGAGATCAGTGGAAGGTCAAGTTTCAGAGATTGTGTATCAAGGTGAGCATAATCACTCAAAGCCTTCTTGCCCTCTTCCACGGCGTGCTTCATCATCAATCTCTTCAGGGTTTCAAAAACCACCAAAAGGAATGGCTTCTGAAGGATCAATGGGACAAGACTCTAACAATAATCTCTATTCTCCTCTTTGGAACAATCAAAGCAATGACTCTACTAAAAACAGAACAGAAAAGATGAATGAGGGCTGTGTTATAACACCATTCGAGTTTGCTGTTCCAAGATCAACAAATTCAAATGCCGGAACTTCAGATTCCGGTTGTAGAAGTAGCCAATGTGATGAAGGCAGCATTGGAGCAGAGCTTGATGATCCAACCAGAAACAAAAAAAGGTAACATTAGGGATTGTTTCAAACTCTAATTTCTGCATTTGTGTTTTTCATTGCTTGTATTGACTTGTGCTTGATAACAGGAAGAACGAGAAGCAATCTAGTGAAGCAGGAATATCGCAAGGATCAGTGGAATCAGACAGTCTTGAAGATGGATTCAGGTGGAGAAAGTATGGACAAAAAGTGGTCGGAGGCAATGCGTATCCAAGAAGTTATTACAGATGCACAAGTGCTAATTGCAGAGCAAGGAAACATGTTGAGAGAGCGAGTGATGATCCAAGAGCTTTCATTACAACCTACGAGGGTAAACATAATCATCATTTGCTCTTGAGCCCTCCAACTTCCTCTACTCTTCCCTTTAACTCTCCACAACTTTCTAAGTAAACCATTTGATTTGATGATCCATTCATGCTTTTTCTTTTTTCTTTTTCTTTTATGTTAAGAAAGAGAAAAAAGAAGAAGCAAATGGTAAATACAATCATCATTTGCTCTTCACCCACAACTTAAGCAAGCCATTTGATCTATATTCATGCCTTTTTCTTCAATCTTTACACCACATTAATTAATTAATCGTGTGAATTTCTTTTATTTACATTAAGATTGTAAGGACAAGAAGATTGATGTTATTTAACAAAACCAAATATAAAACGTGTGTTATATTTTTAGGTGTAACTTTCTTCTGTATGTTTAGTTTATTAGACTTGAGAATTTGATTTCATGGGACCATTTCTTTTTGTTCATTTTGCTGAACATAATGAACTTCTCCACTGATGTAACTCAATTACATTGGTGGTTTATCGAAATCCACTAGATCCCGTTACCACGTTGGTATCGTACTATTACTCCAAGGAGCAGAAGAGAAACGCATAAGCTTGATGAGCTAACTATCAGCTACTTGGTTACATTTGCGGCCAAGGGAGAAAGAATCAAATGTCCGGATCACACCTTGTATATCTTATCGGTATGATTGAAAGGCGGGTCATGTCTTGAAATTGAGAAGCCCTTAACAACATCACTTGAGTCTGATTCATAACTTTCTTATAGCAATGCGGGATTATACACATGATTGGCCATTCAGACTACTGAAAGCAGCGTCAGTGGAACAGGACTAGTCAATCAGCAACAGATTGAATAATATTTTTCATTCTCCCCGGCAGTTCTCCTTAAGGTATGGTCACTATAGAGCCCAAATTCCTTTAAATGGAATGTAGTGGTGTTTGGAAGAGTGACAGGAAAATTGGTTGTGTCCTCAGAGATCCAAAATCGGTCATCTGAAAATGTATCATGGCACCATTTGCACATTTGAGTAGCAGCAAACTGGAGGCTAAAACTCTTGTAGATGGATAGTTGGATACCATAAGACTACCATAATTTATAGAACTTTTAACTGAAACATATATAGATGAAATATATGAAACCATTTGAATGATCAAGATCCCAAGTCGATTAAATGTGTCAAAACTTCATAAAAGATAGAGAGATCATCTGAAACATATCCAAAGCTAATGGAAACAACACAAAAACTCTTTTGATATAATGCAAACTTAGAGAAAAGAAAGATCCCTTAACGATTGGCCTTAGCAACTCTCTCAATCTCATCTTTCTTCTTGATGGCATAGCTGCAAGACAAGAGAAGATGCTATTGTTAGCTAACTAACAAACACGAATGTGAAGCCATCAAGAGACAGACTATGTAGATAGGTGTTTTTACCTGTTGGAAGACCCCTTTGCAGCATTGATGAGTTCATCAGCAAGGCACTCAGCGATTGTCTTGATGTTTCTAAAGGCAGCTTCACGTGCACCAGTGGTAAGCAAGAAGATTGCTTGGTTCACACGTCTTAGAGGAGAGATATCAACGGCCTGCCTCCTAACCACACCAGCAGATCCAATCCTAGTAGCATCTTCACGAGGACCACTAATTCACACAAAAAACAAACCCTCTTAATTAGATTCAGTTCATAGTAGCACACAAGAAAGATACAGGTTTCAGTATCGCAATCTCAATTTACCTGTTAACAATGGCATCAATGATAACTTGAATCGGGTTCAAGTCAGACAAGAGGTGGATGATCTCCATGGCATGCTTGACGATCCTGACAGCCATCAACTTCTTACCGTTGTTCCTCCCGTGCATCATGAGAGAGTTAGTGAGCCTCTCAACAATTGGGCATTGAGCCTTTCTGAACCTCTTCACAGAGTATCTCCCAGCAGTGTGAGGAACAAAAGTTGCATGCTTCGCTGGCTGAACACCAATGTAGTCCACAAGACTAATATCTGTGACCTACATACACCAATACACAGATCAACAAACAAATATTAGCCTCTATTATTTGAAACACAAAAAAAAGACATGGACTTTAATGTCAAATTAGTGTTATAATCAAAACAAACACAACATGGGTTTTAGTGAAGATGGATAAAGATTGTAATAGCTAAATCTGTGAGGACTATAATGTGAGGACACCAATGTAGTCCACAAGATTCACACAATGAAGCTAATGTAACTACTCATATCAAAATAAACCAATCATTTCAACGCCTATCACATATCAAGAGAAAGACCCATTTCAATTACAGCTAAATCTAGTAAGTGAATTGAGGAAAAATAAGGATTAGATCCTAAACAAGTACAAGCGAGCAGATTCGTTAGAACAGAACCAAAGAGTAGCAGACAATATAACCTAGGAGTTACACTCTTTAAGAGTTCAAAGAGAAATGGATTGGTGAGGAAATTACCGAAACGTCATCAAAGCTCCAACGGTTGAAGAGCTTAACCTCATTGGTAAGCTGCTGTTGAATCTCGGCGTCGATTTCTACGGAGGTGGCCATGACTGGAGGATCAGTAGAAGATTAGCAAAGTAAGGATCTTCGGCTGCGGCTTGAAGAAGAAGAAGAGGAGGAAGCTCAGACCAAGAAGCCAAGAAGAATAAACCCTAAAATTGAGTGATAGTAATGTTCTGTTTATAAAATGGGTTTTATTAGGCCTTGATGTGCTCTCATTTTGGGCTTTTGGGCTTTTGGTTTACTTTAGTGTCTTTCCCAATTTGGTTAGGAAGAGTTTTTTTTTCTTTTTCGAAAACACTTTAATTACATTTAGAAGATATACAAGATTGGTTTTGATTTCGTTCTATTGTCCGTTCATGAGAGCAAAAAGCCAAACCAACATTTTTTTTTTTTTTTTTGATCACTCTGATTTTGTGCAGAACGAAATATTCATATTGAATTACAGAGGAAATCAAAGGACAAGATTATAAGCGATAAACTAGTTTAACTTTTCTTGTTGTTAATAATATGATAAATGTCACATGTTATCTAGAATGTAAATGATATAAATACATACATAATTAATATAGACTATTACGTATAAAATCTTCCGATAGTCATAATTCACAACTTTGAATATAAATTAGATAAGATAAGAATATAAGTCTGGAATGTCGTCTATAATAGTGTTTAGATACCGACTAGTTTAGGTTTATCTATAATTAATCTAAAGTTTAAAAGCTCCTTTTTGCTAGTTTAAAGAGCTCGTTTCTTGCACGGTTTCATTCTTGTCTACTTAAATCAACTATCATACGTTGCATTGAATAAGTCCTCAACATGCCCACTGCCCCCACCAACCTGATTTATAAGTAAAACATTATTTTTCTTTGATACGAAGTTACGAACAATACATTCTTCTTTTTTTTTATTTGGTCTCACCATCCATCATATCTTATTAATACTAATTATATATTACTATCGGGAAAAAACAACGCATCAATTAAGCCATATATACCGGCTTTGACGTGCGTCTTAGTGACTTTAATTATTGCAAGGAGCTTACTTAGCGACAAGCCAGAGAATGAGGTTTATGATAATTGATACTCCTTAACTTAATTATTAATTTTTAACTCTGAATTCTGATAAATTTTATCACTCAATCGGAGGCTGCTAGGAAAGACACTTTGATGGGGTTTTTTTCAAGTGTCAACAAATGCAGTCTATCTAAAGGAAACTAGAATGTGATTAAAAAAATAACAAAAGAGACACATAAAAGCAACATGATCTATCTTTAATCTTAGACTAATAACGCGCGGTCACATCTCACTTACCTTTAGGCCAAAGCAATTGTCGTCTATGATTTCAATGTAAATCGTGATATGAATTTATCTATTTTACTCCTGTTTAATATTGATAAACAACGTCCAAGATTCAAACTGAACCAAAGTGACCATTAAGTCTCCACAAAATTTAAAGACAATTAGTCATAATATATTCTTTTATGGTCAACGAAAATTAGAGATAGTTTTCCCACTAATTTGCTTAAACTACTTTTATTTTTATACAAATCAAATTTGACTTTATTTGTTCATTTGTATGACATGTGCTCCTTTAACTAATTCGAGTTTTTTTTTTCTGTCGTCGACAAATCCACTTGTTTAAATTATCAAACAAGACTTTAAAAATAAAATCCCCCCACAAAACATAATTATGTTGTGGAGAATTTTGATAGTCAGTATATTATATATAACAATTCTTTTAGTAAGATCATGATGTATTACCTTTACCTTCCACGACCTGTTTGAAAAACACATTTTACATATTCATATATTATATACATAAAATGAAGACAAAAGCATATCTCATAATGGTTTTCTGAGCAGAGCAACATTCATTGAGAATGGAGCTTGCAGAGACTGGAAAAAGCAACGGATCTAGTTTCAGGACCAGCTCTTCAAGAAATGAGCCTGAGGATGGTGTTGATGAGGCAGAGCATGCTCTGCAATGGGCTGAGATCCAGAGATTGCCCACTTTTAAACGGCTGAGATCGTCTCTGGTGGACAACAATGGCGAGGCTGCGGAGAAAGGAAAAAAGGTTGTTGATGTCACCAAGCTTGGAGCCATAGAACGTCATTTGATGATTGAGAAGATGATCAAACACATTGAGAATGATAATCTCAAGCTGCTCAAGAAAATCAGAAGAAGAATGGACAGGTGAGATTTGATAGTGAATCTTTTTCTTGAAAGTCTGAGACTTTAGCTTGAAAAATCTGCAGGGTTGGTGTGGAGTTTCCGAGCATAGAGGTGAGGTATGAGCATTTAGGTGTTGAAGCAGCATGTGAGGTCGTTGAAGGGAAGGCGCTTCCAACTTTATGGAACTCTTTGAAGCGCGTTTTCTTAGTGAGTATACTCAAGAATGTAATGCAGATTGAAAGTTTGGTGGTAGCTGGTGTTGAATTCTACTTGTTTTTCTTCCTTCAGGACTTGTTGAAGCTGAGTGGTGTAAGAACACGCGAAGCCAAGATAAACATACTTACCGATGTTAGCGGTATCATTACCCCGGGAAGGTTAGTTGCAAGAGGTGCTTTCTTTTTATCCAAGCTTTGAGATTTGTGTAATGCTATTAGCTAATGTCTCTTCTTGTTTCTCAAGGTTGACATTGTTGCTTGGTCCTCCGGGATGTGGAAAAACTACTCTGCTTAAGGCTTTGTCTGGGAATTTGGAAAAAAATCTAAAGGTTTTAGATATTTCCTCTTTTGAATGCTTTTGCTGCAGATGTGTGAATCATGACTAATTTTTTCTCCTTTATTTCCACAGCGTTCTGGTGAAATCACCTACAATGGACATGGACTGAACGAGGTTGTTCCTCAGAAAACATCGGCGTATATAAGTCAACATGATCTTCACATTGCAGAGATGACTGTGAGGGAGACAATCGACTTCTCAGCTCGTTGTCAAGGTGTCGGTAGCCGAACAGGTAGGTGTCTTCATCGTCTTTCTGAAGCATTTTAACACTGTTTTTGTGACAAACATATCTTTCTGCTGAAACAGATATCATGACGGAGGTCAGTAAAAGAGAAAAGGATGGTGGAATCATTCCTGACCCAGAAGTAGATGCTTACATGAAGGTAATAAGCACTCCTGAAGCTTATGTTGAAACTGATCTTTGAACTCGGGCGGTTGATTGTAACCTTTTGAAACCTCATTGTGCAGGCAATATCGGTTAAAGGACTTAAAAGAAGTCTGCAAACAGATTACATTTTGAAGGTAGTTTCTTTCTCTGATACAGTTCAGATTTCTAGTCCTTGATTAGCTTCTTAATCATGTCTTGTACTACATTTCCAGATCCTGGGGCTTGACATTTGTGCAGAAACATTGGTTGGCAATGCAATGAAAAGAGGAATATCCGGGGGACAAAAGAAGCGTCTTACAACAGGTTTGTTCATATAGCTAAGAATCATGCAAACCGTCATCTTTTTGTTTGTATGGCTTGTTTTCTAAAAACATTGTGTTTGCAGCTGAAATGATCGTTGGTCCAACAAAAGCTCTGTTCATGGATGAAATAACAAACGGCTTAGACAGTTCCACAGCGTTTCAGATTGTCAAGTCTCTTCAGCAACTCTCTCACATTACCAACGCAACTGTGTTTGTTTCCCTTCTACAACCTGCTCCAGAATCATATGACCTCTTCGACGATATTGTGCTGATGGCTGAAGGAAAAATAGTGTACCACGGGCCACGCGACGAGGTCTTGAAATTCTTTGAGGAATGTGGATTTCAATGCCCAAAAAGGAAAGGTGTTGCAGACTTTCTCCAGGAGGTAAAAACTCTGTTCCTTGACATTGAAATTCTGATCCCATGGTCCTGACTTGTTTTGCTTTGTAGGTTATATCTAAAAAGGACCAAGGACAGTACTGGCTGCACCAGGACATACCCCATAGCTTTGTCTCAGTAGACACATTGTCAAAGAAATTCAAGGACTTAGAGATTGGGAAAAAGATTGAGGAAGCCCTCTCTAAGCCATATGATAAATCAAAAACTCTCAAGGATAATGCTCTCTCTTTCAATGTGTATTCTCTTCCAAAGTGGGAACTATTTAGAACATGCATCTCAAGAGAGTTTCTTCTCATGAAGAGAAACTATTTCGTCTACCTCTTCAAGACGTTTCAGGTTACATTCTTTCTTTCTACAGATATACAGTATCTCTCCTTTTGTCTTCTTTCAAAATTCTATTGTTTTCTGAAGAATCCTTGTTGCACAGCTTGTTCTAGCCGCAATCATCACCATGACAGTGTTTATTCGAACAAAGATGGACATAGATATCGTTCATGGAAATTCTTACATGAGTTGTCTCTTTTTTGCAACTGTTGTACTTCTGGTTGATGGTATTCCAGAGCTGTCTATGACTGTTCAACGCCTTTCCGTGTTCTACAAGCAGAAGCAACTGTGTTTCTATCCAGCTTGGGCTTATGCAATCCCTGCAACGGTGTTAAAGGTCCCTCTCTCCTTCTTAGAATCTCTCGTCTGGACCAGCCTTACTTACTATGTCATCGGATACACTCCTGAAGCTTACCGGTGAGAGTTTGAAACCCTCTCTTGCTTGCTCCCTATTCACATCCAAGCCTGAGAATGACAAACAAATGTAATGTAATGATCTTTGATGTTTCAGGTTCTTCCGGCAATTCATTCTGCTCTTTGCTGTTCACTTCACATCGATATCTATGTTCCGGTGTATAGCTGCAATCTTTCAAACAGGAGTTGCTGCAATGACAGCTGGTAGCTTTGTCATGTTAATCACCTTTGTATTTGCCGGTTTTGCCATCCCATATAGTAGGATTTTTTTGCTCTTTTCTTTTTAATCCTGTTCCAAGGCTCCACTAAAACATGACATTGGTTTGGTGCAGCCGATATGCCGGGGTGGCTGAAGTGGGGTTTCTGGGTAAATCCTATAAGTTACGCTGAGATTGGGCTCTCTGTAAACGAGTTTCTTGCTCCGCGGTGGCAGCAAGTGATTCTCTCTTCCCTTACTTGTTTCTCTTAATCATCCAATATCTCTTCATTAATCCTCTAAGACTTAATCGGTGGTTTTCGGGTTATGTTTGTAGATGCAACCCACAAATGTCACCTTGGGGAGAACCATACTCGAAAGCCGAGGACTGAACTATGATAATTACATGTACTGGGTCTCATTATGTGCCTTGTTGGGTCTCACTATTATCTTCAACACCATTTTCACTCTAGCTCTGAGTTTCTTGAAATGTAAATAAGTTCAAAATATCAACAGATTTAAGGCCACAAACAAAAGCACATTACTGAAGAGCTTCTTTAACACTTTGACAGCTCCCACATCATCTCGTGCCATGATTTCTCAAGATAAGCTCTCTGAGCTGCAAGGAACCAAAGATTCATCATCAGTCAAGAAGAACAAGCCACTAGATTCCCCAATAAAGACAATTGAGGATTCAGGTGAAATATATTGTCTTCTTTCTACTCACACAAACTCTTTCTTCTCCATTTCCCTCAACCTAATAACGCCTTTGCGGATCAACAGGGAAGATGATCTTACCTTTTAAGCCCCTCACCATAACATTTCAAGACTTGAACTATTACGTCGACGTACCTGTGGTAAAAGCTTCTATTCATTCTTGGTTACTAATTTACCATTTTTGACTGCAAAGGATAATCCATGGATATTTTGCTAATCTCAGGAGATGAAAGCTCAAGGGTACAATGAGAAGAAGTTGCAGCTTCTTTCAGAGATCACCGGAGCTTTCAGGCCCGGTGTTCTAACGGCGTTGATGGGAATCAGTGGAGCTGGAAAAACCACTTTACTCGACGTTCTAGCCGGAAGAAAAACAAGCGGATACATAGAAGGAGAGATTAGAATCAGCGGTTACCTTAAAGTCCAAGAAACATTCGCAAGAGTCTCAGGCTACTGTGAACAAACGGATATACACTCACCAAACATCACAGTCGAAGAATCCCTAATATACTCCGCTTGGCTCCGTCTAGTTCCAGAAATCGATGTTCAAACCAAAATCGTAAGCCCTAATTCTACAGAGCATAAAAACTATGACCTAGAAATCGAAATAAAGAAATCAGTTGTGAAAAATTCATGCAGAGATTTGTGAAGCAAGTTCTTGAGACGATCGAGCTTGAGGAGATCAAAGATTCGTTGGTAGGAGTGGCGGGAGTGAGCGGATTATCGACAGAGCAGAGGAAGCGGTTAACAGTAGCGGTGGAGTTGGTGGCTAATCCGTCGATCATATTCATGGACGAGCCAACGACGGGGTTGGATGCAAGAGCAGCCGCCATTGTAATGAGAGCTGTGAAGAACGTTGCTGAGACTGGACGAACAATTGTCTGTACTATTCATCAGCCTAGCATCCACATCTTTGAAGCCTTCGACGAGGTTCGAATTTCGAAATTTTATAGTTTCTAATACGAATTTTTTTATAAATATATATACTTTTCATATCATAATGGTTTATGTTCAGTTGATTCTTCTGAAGAGAGGCGGTCGTATTATTTACAGTGGACCACTTGGAAAACATTCATCTTGTGTCATTGAGTATTTTCAGGTTAGCTTTTTGCACAAGTAATAAAAATAAATTAGCTGGCCGGGTTTGATTGTTTTATAAGTAACCTATATAAAATATTTTACTTTGTTGGTGGTGAATAACAGAATATTCCTGGAGTTGCTAAGATTAGAGACAAGTACAATCCAGCAACATGGATGCTAGAGGTGACTTCAGAGTCTGTAGAGATTGAACTCGACATGGATTTCGCAAAAATCTACAACGAATCGGATCTTTACAAGTGAGTAGAGTAGATGTCATTTATGGCTAGATTTGTGTTTGCTTTAGGACGTGTCTAATGAGCTCATGTGTTGTTGTTTCTATAGGAACAACTCCGAGCTTGTTAAAGAGCTGAGCAAACCGGATCACGGGTCAAGCGATTTGCATTTCAAGAGAACTTTTGCGCAGAACTGGTGGGAACAGTTTAAATCTTGTCTATGGAAGATGAGTTTGTCTTACTGGAGAAGCCCAACTTACAACTTGATGCGAATCGGTCACACTTTCATCTCTTCTTTAATCTTTGGTCTACTCTTCTGGAATCAAGGGAAAAAGATGTAAGTGACCTAAAAACTCCATCCGAATCATTTCAAGTTTTTGTATGTTTTCACTTACTTTTGAATGTTTTCGCAGAGATACGCAACAGAATTTGTTCACAGTTCTCGGGGCGATTTATGGTCTAGTCCTCTTCGTTGGGATTAACAACTGCACTTCAGCTTTGCAGTATTTTGAGACAGAGCGTAATGTTATGTACCGCGAAAGATTTGCGGGAATGTACTCTGCGTTTGCCTATGCATTGGCTCAAGTTGTGACTGAAATACCTTACATATTCATCCAAAGCGCAGAGTTTGTTATCATAATATATCCTATGATTGGTTTCTATGCGTCTTCCGCTAAAGTCTTTTGGAGTCTCTATGCAATGTTCTGCAACCTACTCTGCTTCAACTACCTCGCGATGTTCCTCATCTCCATCACTCCAAACTTCATGGTTGCAGCTATTCTCCAGTCGCTTTTCTTCATGACATTCAACCTTTTCGCCGGATTCTTGATCCCAAAACCGGTAAGATCTTTGGAATAAGTCATCATCATCATCATCTTTGATCTTTACGTTATTACATACTTAATAGTGTTTTCTTGATGTCAATGCAGCAAATCCCAAAGTGGTGGGTCTGGTTTTACTATCTAACCCCGACCTCATGGACGCTCAACCTGTTTTTCTCGTCTCAGTATGGTGATATTCATCAAGAGATCAATGCATTTGGAGAAACCACGACGGTTGCGAGATTCTTAGAGGACTATTTCGGATTCCATCATGATCGTTTGGCGATTACAGCCATTATTCTCATTGCATTTCCAATTGCATTGGCTACTATGTATGCTTTCTTTGTTGCCAAACTCAACTTTCAAAAACGATGATCAATCAAATTCAACACCAACACAAGCTTTTCCTTATACATGGTCAAACACTTGTGTAACCAAGAACCACAAGAAAAGATGTATCAAATGTTTTGATTATGAATTCTATTGAGTTAATCGTAAAATGTACTTAGCAGCTTCAAGATCTTTAGCAATAAGATCTTTAGAAACACTGATTGTTTAGCAATAAGTTCTCTGAAACCACAAGAGAGATAATACAATAAGATCTTTAGCAGCTTCAAGATCCTAAGAAACACTGATTGTTTCATTTTTCATGAATCTGGAAAAGTGTTTTAAGACTCTATAAACACCTCTAGAAAGTTGCAGAGAACTCATTGGAAGGTGCATGTGAGGCTACCAAGGTTTGAAAATTACCTAAATGTTTTGCAGTTATAAATGACTCTTTGTTGGTTAGCGTCTTGTCTACGGATTTAAAAGATCTTCGGATTTGCTTTCTTTTGATGGAGATTTGGATTCAGATGATGAATTACTAGTATTATCAACATTTGATTCCTCCGTTTGTTTTGCCTGTCAACTTAAAAACATTACATTAGTAATCAAGCTCAGTTCATAACATTAGAGAACAGATGCTAAGAAAATACAGTTAAAGAGACAAAAGTTTGATTCTAAGCTCGATGGCGGTAAGTACTTCACCTTGTTCCTGTCGCGCCAGCCAAGACCAAATGATAGGAAGCCTGTCTTCTTTTTAGGGCTCTCCTGTGTAGTACGAGTAAACCTATACAACGTTGAAGTAAGATAAGAATTATCTTGACTTGAGAAGAAGTATCTGGATACTAATTATGACACGATGTTATATAGAAAAATAAGATAGCTTTGTGGTTTGTCACACTAAATCCAAAACATATGCAAGGGTAATGTAAGATTCTGTTTTTGGTATATTGTTAAGTTTTGGAGAATCTATACAGATCAAAAGCAGCCAAAGGAAAGAATAGGAGATGAGTTCTGATGATGTACCTTGGAGATGATGATAGTGCTTTATTTTGACCTGATTCATATTGCAAAGTTGCTTCGAGTGTTGTTTCTGCTGTAACTAGTTTCTTCTCCATTTGAGCGAGTTGAGTCACAAGCTTCTCATTCTTTTCCTGTTTAATTAAGTGTTTTCACAAAGAATCATCAAGCTAAGATCAAAGATTCTGTATCTCTACTTGGAAGTTTTATCTTTATGTAAAATATCTTAGAAGATACAAAGTAAGAAGATGACCAAAGCACCTGAAGCACATGTACTGCATATCTTTGTGCAGCTGCATCTTGCTCTGCACTTATCCGGGCATCTTCTGTTAGCTTTTGGTCTTGCTCAACTTTCATCAAGACCTGAAACCATCCGAACCGAAACTATATGGCTTAATACTCGAGCAAACATCGATAATGCAGCACTTTGCATTTGTGTAAAAAAACAAAGACCTGAAGCATTGCTGTTTCTTGTTCTTTCTTATCAGAAAGGACTTGCTTTAGTTCTCTTACTTCCCTTTCCAGTTGTTCAATCTGTAAAACAATCTATGAGCCTTCCTCTGTAGCTTTAAACAGAGTTTTTGAAGGAAGTCTAAATATACCCGTGCACTTAGTTCCAGTCTGTTATCTTCTTTGACCATCTCCATCAAAGCTATCTCCAGCTCCTCAGCTCTGTAGAGAGTAATAAATAACACATATTACTATATTAGTATCAGTTCTTAAGTTTCCCATGATTTGAGAAATGGAAGGTGAAGTAGAGTACTAACCTCATAACAGCTGATCTTTTCTCCTCCAACAGTCTGCATAGTTCAACCTTCATCCATACCACCTGCACAATAACTGTTATCGATGAAACTTAAAGGGAGTTGCATATTCCACATACTTAATCAACTACACAAGAACTTTGTTGATAGAAGAACATAATTCTCTGTTATTTTCATTCCCAAAAACTTATATAAAAAAAGAGTAAGTCACCTGCTCTTGAAGATCTGGTAAAGAATCTACTTCGGAATCAACATTAGCACCATCCAGATTCAGAGAAGGCGAACAAGATTCATCATCATCATCTGGATTCTCACCATCATTCCTTTGAGTAGACTTTTGTTCATGATCTAAGATAGAGCCTTCATGTTTAAAGCTATATAACTTAGAAGCCAATCCTTTTTTATCCTTCCAGACTCGACCTTTTTGTATTCTTTCCTCGACAATCTCTAGTACCGCCGGTCTATGTATTTTCCTCAGCTCTTCTAGTCTAGCTTCATTTGTCGATATATAACCCATGCATGCGGTCAAAACAAGTTGACTACTATCAAATGTTGAACTAGCAAGACTTTGTAGTGAAGTAATAGCATCTCCTGCATCTTTTGTGGCAACAATTGCAGGACCTAAGGAAATAAAAGAATGACTAAAAAATTTGTTTCCTTCAAAAACACAGAGCTAATTCAATCATCACACACTTGATACATACAAAAGTATCAGCAAATACCATATAGTTCCATTATAGCAAACGCTGTTCGGAACAACACTACGCGGTTTCCTTCAAAGAGAAGCACATCCCACATCCGCAGAACTAAAAACATCAAGATGAAATACAACTTCAGCTAAAATAAGAACGTGTAATGTCCTTCCTTGACATATAACATAAGAACTCACCGCATTCCCAAGGAATAATGTTCACAAAAATAGATAGGAACCATGGTCCAGAGATCCATGCAACCTGCACTCCCAAGTAATCCAGATGATTAACTGCATCAGGAGGATTATTGGAATAGAAGAAACGATCACATTGCTCTGTATAAGTTGGAAAATCCAAATATATGAAGAGAAACTTGAATATCGGATGAAAAAACGAACCGAGCTTTGGAAATCTTTCTCGCATCAACTCTTCAAAGACTAGTTGATCAACCTAAGAGAAGTAGATTCACAATGGTCACTTTCTAGAAAGGTATTAAGGAAACATAATCAGAAGCGTTTAGTTGAACTGTTACCTGAGATTCTATCATCTCTTCTGTATAGTAGCCATCAAAATAATCATCAATAATCCCAACCAAAGTCCTGAGAAATTTTCAGTAACACAAAAATCGCTCATACCAATGCATGCCATGATTCAAAGACAGAGAAAAAAAGCTTTTATCAACTCTACCAAAATGCATTTTCCTCTGGCATCAACAGAAGCAACAGCCCAGCAAAAAAGTTCATAGCCTGAAATTTTACAGGATCATTGTTCAACTTAGCCTTGAAACAATTGTAACAACTAATAATGAATTAAAGATGCTATATATTATGTACTTAAATATGTTTTTTCTAGCCCAAGTCACCTGACAGTACCCAACAGATGGGTTGTGACAAGCATAAGCTAGAAGTATCCGCCTTAACGAATCGCGACCATTTTCATTCAGAGCAGGGTGGCCTGGGAATGTCCGAGGTATATCCTGTATAGTGATCATGATTGCAATAAGAAAACTTTCCACATTCAAAAGACTTGAGTGACCAAAGTCCAACATGCATTTATCTAATATATCAAAACCTTTTCAATTTGTTTTTTCCATTTTCTTTGGACATCAGATGAGCTTTCATCAGAGTTAGTTATCTGAGCCAACAAATCCTGATAGTATCTCTCAACTCTTCTTGCCTTTACACCTACAAAGGCTTGCCAAACCTGTGAATGCAAAAGTTAGGCAAGCAAAGTAAACTTCTTTGGGCCAACAATCCTGATAGTGTAAACTTTACCTCCCCTCTGAGATCCTTTGGCACTCCCAAACGAACAAGTACCTCAAGTTCTTCATACCAAGGGAAAAATGGCTCTGGAGAAACACTACCCTTGTCTTCCTTCATCGAATGGGATCTACTCGTGGAAGTCTCACTGTCACGGTCATTTTCTCCAGAGTTTTGCTCAGATTCTTCAATGGAAGGCAGCGATTCTTTTCTCGGTGAAGCATGGTCACCTACTATAGAATTCTGCCTAATTTTCGTATCCTTTACGTTCTTAACACGAGCGCACATCATATCCTCTATGGACGCTAGACAAGGTCTAATATGAGCCCATTCTATAACTGAACGAGCCTTGGTTTCTTTTTCTGCTTTTTCATGTCCCGATTCACATTTATTTTCTTGTTGAATGTGTTCATGATCCACAGGTTCTTTTACTGCTTGAGATTGTTGTTCTTTATCAGATTCACTTTCACTTTCCACTGATGATTCTTTATCCTTGTCAGATTCAAATTTCTCCTTCTCCTCATCTTTTACAGGTTCTGCGTCTCTTCTAAGACTCTTCTCCCTCAAATATTGGTGCTCGTCAAGAACCTGCGCCTCCTCGGCTGGTTCTTTCTCTTTTGAAACATCACCAGCTGTTTCAGTTTTATCTTGTTCAAGATGCTGCAGTACTCTTGTACCACTAAGTTCACAATCTTCATGTTTCCCGTTTCTTGAACCCTCCTCTGAATCACTCTCCTCTCCAGATTCCAATCCATCAGCCTGCAATGAATCCTGAAACTCCTCTTCTGAGGAACAAGATTCAGCGGCTCTGTTTTCTTGTCGGTCAAGAAAGTTTTTCCATTTCTCTGCCCTCTCTGTCTCTTCTTCCTATTCCAGTCGTATTCAAATTTAGTACACAAACATATGCCACAATACATTTGATTTGATACACAAAAGCGATTTTTGGACATGACATACTCTAATAATGAAACCATAGATATATGACTAGTAATAATCTGAGAAAGCAAATGAAGCAAGAGCAAGAGAAGAACTCACTGTATAGATGTTAAGGTATTCTTGATATCTCTGAACGTGTTGAGGTCTCAAGGCAAATCCATAAGCGTCCCTGCAAATCAAGATTCTTCAGATAATGTATCACAAAATTACGAAATGATTAGAGAAATATAATTTACCTGGAATCAACCTCCAGTGAGCGCTTGCTCACCAAAGATAACAACATATTTCACAAAGAAACTTATTTCTAATTCCCATTGCTTTACTTTACATTACTACACTCGCAAAACTCAATTCCATACACACAGCTTAATGATTTTAACAACAAATATTAAATCGAAACGACGATAAGATCAAAAGAAGAAAAGAAAATCTATGATCATCGATTGGTTAGTTTCGTACTGCGATCGAGAAATCGTCAACGAGAGATTACCGATTAATCAGGAGATAGTTAAAATATATTATGGATTAAAAAAATCACCTGTCTCTAAGATAGTTGTGGACGACAAACAAGTGTTGCTCCGTCATGATCGGTCATGCACGACGATCTAATTGTTTGTTTATTTTATTTTCCAACAAAAAAAAAAAAAATACAGAAAAGAAGCTTCATAGTTTCATTTCATAACGTTAATTCTATCATTTAATTTGAAGAAGAAAAACAAAATCTGTCTGCTTCTTACAAAAAAAAAAAACTCAAAATCTGTCAATAATTAAGACCAGAGAAATTGAATCTAATTTTATCCACGTGGCATTTTATTATTGGATTACTAATTATGTTGGTAAGTCCATCTACACATTATGTGGACAATGTAAACAAGAAAATTCGAACATAATGTAAATCTATAACCAAATAAAAATTATTATTTGAACTCATCAGATAGATAATCTGTTCCTAACAAAATTAGAACAAATGAATGGGAAACAAAGCTTAATAAAAAATGGTGTTCGAAATTGCAATGAAAAAATATATACTGCTTCCTTTGTTCGGTCTATATCACTAATTTCCAAGAAAGGTCACTTTCGTTCTTTGAGAACAAAAAACACAAGAAGAAAGAGACATACATTATGTCATATGTGTCGTGTCGTCATCCCCATCTCTACTAACACTTTGAATTTATTACTACCAAACTCAAATGTGTCCTAAAGCCTAATCAATCCCTTTATTCACATGCCCTCTCTCTCTCTCTCTCTCCACTGTCCACTGTATTGATCAATCCCAGATTTGTCTTTGATCTTGGCCTTCTCTGTTTTTGTTGTTGTTCATTGGTATCTTCATTACCATCAATCTCCTCTATTGAGCTTGTACTTGGACTATTGATAAACAAAACTAGTATATACTATATAGTATTAGTAACTTAATGATCCACCATGAGAAGCGGTTTTGATTCAAAGTTGTTTAGGGGATGATATATTGATATTCTTGAGTCTTGAACTCTTAAGTTGCATCTGAGTACCAAGAAAACTCATTACCAGCCTGTGATTCTTCTTCATGACTTGAGGTTGAAGCAACATCTTTAAGCTTTGATTTTGAATCAGCTTCTTCCATGGAAGCAACATTTTCAGTTGCATGATCAGTTTTCTCTTCATCCACGGCTCCATTTTCATGAGTTTCTTCTTCTTCTTCCTTTGAGGCTGAAGTGCAAACCGATGATATACAGGAAACTTCAGATGAATTTGATCCCTCCGAACTGCGTGACCCTTTAATGGATTCAAGTTTTTTCATCAGGAACTTTAGTCTCTTCTCTGCTTTTTCCCTTAATCTAATTTCTTCTTTCAGATTACGCTCCAGCTCTTCCATCTGTTTCCAAGAGATTAAAGCTTGTCTTTGAGAAATAAATCAGCTGTTTAACAAATCCAGATCAAAACTAATAACTTTTAAAACAACACCTTTTTGATCCAAGAAACGAGAACAGAGTAATTAGTGATACTCTCTTGATAGTCAAGTAACAAGAAAGACTCTTTCTTGATTCTTGATCAAACCCAGATATTCTTAAACAAGAATGAAACTTGGGATTTTATGAAGTTACCTTTCTGGTGATAAGCTCTGCTTCTTCTTTTGCAGATCTTGAAACTTGCCTCTCTGCAAGTAGTCTCCCTCTTAGACACTCCACAGTTCTCAGACCTTCTTCCTTTTCTTCTTCTTCCATCTTCTTACTTGTAGAATTTGTTCTTAACCAAAAAGAGAGACAAAAACAATTCCTCAATCTCTGTAATAAAGTTGTTAAATCACACAGTAACATATACATGTATCTATAAAAAGAGAGAGAGTGAGAGAGAAAGAGAAGCCCACCTGCATTTTGTGTTGTAATTAGAGAGATCAATGGTCATACTCATACTGTTTCTTTCATTCAACAAACAAAACCAAATTGGTAAAATCTTAAAGTTCAACTTCACAACTAACTGCAAAAATAAGACCACTGTGTTGTTAGATCATGTCATTTAATGTTCATTCAAGAAGGAACATATCAACATCATACTTTAAAATCAACTTACCACAAAAGAAAATTCAAAATATTTCCAAGTTCAAATACAAAAACAGATCCAGATTCAAATCCCTTGAGTCTTGAGAGAGGAGGGAAATGTACCTAAAACCCCCCCAAAAAAATAGAAGTTGTGTTTGAAAAACAAAAAACAGAATCTGTATTGTAGGGACAATAAATAAGTTGATTTGTAAGCAAAACGACAGTGTGTGCTTTGGACTTTTGTTGCCTGCAGCTCCCGTGAGTTGGTAAATCTCCCACTTCAAGACCTTTTTAAAGATAAAAACTATTATCAATTCACTGGTATTGTAAATTTTTACTGCATATTTTCTTATATTATCTTACATGACAAATATGCATGTGTACCAGAGGAACGATCCTGATTATTAATCCATTATGTTCTTTGACGTTAATTCCAAAGGAAAAATCATTATTAAATTCGTTACTGTTTTGTGATACGATTCTAGTTTTACCAAGTGTTTACAAAACTCTTTGTCAAACATATTTACTCCAAAAATAGATTGATTTGCCTTTGCTTTTAATGACACTTTTTATCGGTTGCATTTATATGTGTACTTATTTATATGTTCTGCTTCTTGTGTTGTGCGGCATTGCACTATTGGTGAATGTGAAATAATCAAAAACAAAATAAGTTTGACGGTTTTGTAAAGGGATTGAATAAAATTAAGGAGATGAGGAAAATCTTGTGACCCTCCATAGATCTGAAAAATTAAATCGAGTAACCATTAGTGGTCACGCAGAAAATTAATGCTCCCAACCTCTCACTATAATTTTACTTTATAATTTTTGATTTTCTTTTCAAATTAGATTAGCAACACGCAAAGAAAAATTGAGTGATTACTGATTAGTGATATTGACCTCGCGTGTACTTTACTCTGAGACCAAAATTAACTACATAAACCTCATTAATCAAAATACTGCTTACTTTGTGAATAAAACTAATGAAACATATAAAACTAACATTCTTATTCTTTTTAGCAACCCCACCACTTCAATCAAAATCACTTCATTACTCTCAAGTTAAAGCTTGGGGTTGCTGCTTCTATCAACTAGTCAACGTCATGTTCAATCACATTCACAACAGCAAAAAAAGGAAAACAAAATCATTAAATTGCAACTCTTTGAAAAGCTCCATAAAAAACAAATCATCACATAGTAATTCTGGCAAGAAAATGAATAGGAGATGTTTAAGAAACAAATCAGTAAGCTTCATCAAGCTCTTGTTTCATGATATACTCTTTGTCGCTCATTGACTCAACTAAACCCTCTATTACATCATACATCTCTTTGCTTCTCTCACACGAACTGTCTTTCGCTATGAAACTACGTAATCCTTTATTAGTTTCGATCCAGCTGGTGCCGGGGATTTTCTTTAATCCGATTCTTTTCATCTTATCCCTTACCATTTCAGCTTCTTCCCATCTCCCTGCTTGAGTATACAAATTCGCCATGATAGTGTAGTTCCCTGTATTTTCAGGTTCCATTTCGAACAAGCGATCACAAGCAAAGCTCGCGATCTCCACATCACCGAGAACAGAAGCCCCGTTCAACAATGCACCCCAGACTTTAGCAATTGGTTCAATTGGCATCTTAGAAATGAATTCCATTGCATTCGAAAGTTTTCCAGCCCGGCTAAGAACACTTACCATACACGCATAGTGCTCCACTCCTGGCTCAATGTTATACTTAGTTAACATAGAATCAAATATATGTTGCGCCTTATCCGAATCCCCCGAGTGCGCAAAAGCTGAAAGAACAGCTGTTAGTGTGACATTGTCTGGCTTAGTTCCAAGACACTGCATTTGGTCAAAAAGACTACAAGCAGAATCAGAGTCCCCATGAACAGCATGTGCTGTTATAATTGCAGTCCAAACAATCAAGCTCCTGTCTTTACAGTTATCAAAAACCCTTTGAGCTCCTAGCAGAAATCCTAATTTGGCATAGTTATCTATAATGGAGGTGGTGACATATATATTGTTGTCAGAGCCGTTACGGATGGCAAAAGCGTGGATTTCCTTACCCCCTTTCAGATTTGAACTATATGTCAACGAGGGAAGAAGGCTCGAAAGGGTCACCGTGTTTGGCCTAGAGCCACAACTTATCATCTCCCTAAATGAGTTTATAACCTCCTCATGATGGTTATTCTGCATAAGACCTGAAATCACAGCATTCCACGTACTCAGACCAATGCTTTCCATTTCACTAAACAAAGCCATTGCTTCCTTGACAAGACCATGAGCCATATATCCAGAAATTATAGCTCCGTATGTAACCGAATCTTTCTCACTCATCTCATCAAACAGTGCTCTTGCATAATCCAAGCTACCACATTTAGCATAGAAACCAATCACAGCGTTACACAGGGATAAATCCATCTGAATATGATTCTCAATCATCTTCTTGTGAACTTCCATCCCAAAAACAAGATCGCTTGACTGTCCGCAGGCCTGCAAGACGCTTATCACAGTGACTTCATTAGGCTTAAAATCCGAGCAACCTAACATAGCTTTATACAACTTCTTACAATCCTCAAAAGACCCACTTTGAGAATACCCGGAAATCATAGAGTTCCACGAAACAACATCTCTGTCAGACATTTCATCAAACACTTTCCTCGCAGACTCGATGTTATCACACTTTGTATAGTACGTGATCAGCCCATTTCCTACAAAGACATCAAAATCAAACCCACCTCGTATAACAAACCCGTGAACTTGTCGAGCCAATGAACCCAACCAGAAACCATCACAACCTGACAGGGCCTTCAACACACAAGAGATGCTAATAGAATCCGGTCTAGCAGTTCCGGAAGAGTGACAAGAGGACCCAATCCAGGACAAGAACAAAGAAAAAGCATCAAAATACATTTCACGCGAAGTATACGCGATGAGAAGTGCGTTGTAAGAGAAGGCATTTCTAACGGTAATTTCGTCGAACACATGGAGTGCTTGACGGAAACGATTCTGCCTAGTGTAAAAACTGATAAGCTTTGAAGCGAGGAAGTTGTCCGGCGTGGTGGAGAAGACGACAATACGCGCGTGAAGCTGAAGCGCGTGGAGAGGAAGTCGGTGACGGGTAAAGTGCTGGATGAGGTGACCATACGCGCCGCCGTCGACCGCCGCTTTGTTTAGCAAGCCTTGCAAGGCTCGTTGAATTTCGAATCCCAGCTTCATTCATATCTAACCAAAAGCTAAACCGGAGAAATTAAACAACATGTATATATAGCGGCAAGTTAATGGGCCTTAAGCCCATAGTGACGCTTTATTACAGAGCGAGGAGAGTATTGAAATCAATTGACTTTTTTTAGTTTCATGTCTTGTCTGAGAAATTATTCTTGTCGATCTTTCAGTTATATTCAATCTCGATCTTGCTACAGTCGATCACTGAATCGTGATATAGCTAACGAATCATCTGAAGTTGAGAGACGAGCTCGTTCTCTGAGAGTTTTAGATATCATATCTTCGAAATCTGGTGAAGTTTCGAATCGCCAGGATCATTTTGGTTTCGTTCAGGAATTTCTACAAACAGATTCGAGGCAATTTAGAGGTCAAGCAATTTCCGAGGATTTTGATCTCTTAAGAACCAAAAATGGAGTTTCAAGCGTTCTCGAAGAAGTTATGCTGGAGAATTCTTCAAGCTCTGTTAAGCGAGATGGATGGAGTTTCGATGCTTATGGTTTATCATCCGCCGTGAGATCATGTGGGTCGAATCGAGACTTTAGAACCGGTTCGGGGTTTCATTCCTTAGCATTGAAAGGTGGGTTTATCTCAGATGTCTACTTAGGAAGTTCTCTGGTCGTTTTGTACCGAGATTCTGGTGATTTAGACAATGCACATAAAGTGTTTGAAGAAATGCCTGAGAGGAACGTGGTTTCATGGACGGCTATGATTTCAGGGTTTGCGCAAGAATGGCGAGTTGATATCTGCTTGAAGCTTTATTCAAAGATGAGAAAGTCAAACTCTGTTCCGAATGATTACACATTCACGGCTCTGTTGAGCGCTTGCACGGGAAGCGGAGCCCTAGGGCAAGGAAGAAGTGTTCATTGTCAGACACTCCGAATGGGATTGAAGTCGTATCTTCATATCTCAAACTCTCTCATCTCGATGTACTGCAAATGCGGCGATTTGAAAGATGCTTTCCGTATCTTTGACCAGTTTTCAAACAAAGATGTTGTCTCTTGGAACTCTATGATTGCTGGTTACGCGCAGTACGGCCTTGCAACGCAAGCAATCAAGCTCTTTGATGTAATGATGCCCAAAAGCGGAACAAAGCCTGATGCAGTCACATATCTAGGAGTTCTATCATCGTGCAGACATGCAGGTCTTGTAAAAGAAGGAAGAAAGTTCTTCAACTTGATGGCAGAACGCGGCCTGAAACCAGAACTCAACCACTACTCTTGTCTGGTCGATCTTCTTGGCAGATTTGGTCTGTTGCAAGAAGCCCTGGAGCTGATTGAGAACATGCCAATGAAACCAAACTCAGTCATATGGGGATCTCTACTTTTCTCTTGCCGTGTTCACGGCGATGTCTGGACGGGAATCAGAGCTGCAGAGGAACGGTTGATTCTTGAACCTGAATGTGCAGCCACACATGTCCAACTGGCGAATCTTTACGCCAGTGTCGGCTACTGGAAAGAGGCGGCGACAGTGAGGAAACTGATGAAAGATAAAGGACTGAGGACGAATCCAGGTTGCAGTTGGATCGAGATCAATAACAATGTTTTCATGTTTAAAGCTGAAGATGGTAGCAACTGTAGAATGCTAGAGATTGTTCATGTTCTTCATGTTCTCGTTGATCACATGGAGTTCCTCTAATACGATGCCGTATTAGCGTTCTCTCATTAGTTTTTAACTACGCAACCTCTATTACTAATGAAAAGACTTTAATTTATTATAGAGTTAAGTAATGAACACACATTAATTTATTAATCAACCAGGTAATCAGATGAATATAGCTATATAATGCGGTAAAATGCACCAAGATCCTTTGACTTTGTTCTATATGACGTAGATCCTTGATTTTGAACTATAATAATGTGAAGTTAAAAAAACACACGCCTTCAAATTTTTCTTTGGTATATAATTAAAATTTTAAGGTACAAGTTTGCACGATTAATTTTTCGAGTGAGGATTAGAACTCTAAAACTGAGATAATTACACAAAATTCGTAATAAAGGAATCGAATCTAGGAAAGTGTCTACTGTTTTCCAACTGGTCCTCTCTTATATACCCTTCTCCACTACTACCGCACTCAGAAGACGACGACAAAACAAAAGTTGCGTTAGACAGAGAGATGGATCTGTATTGGGAAGATTTTTTCAAGGATTACGAATGGCTGATCGTGTTTCTGAAAGGTATGGTGAAGCCTGCGGCGGCGCTCGTGGTGGTGCTTTTGGCGGTGGTTCTTTCATACTCGCAGAACCTCTCTTTGGAAGGAGAAATGATATACTCTGTTTTCCGATCGTTTCTTCAGCTCTCTGTTATCGGATTTGTTCTTCAATTCATCTTTAACCAAGAGAACGCCGGCTGGATCGTGCTTGCTTATCTCTTCATGGTTAGTTTCAATCAAACTCAAGATCTGCTCTGTTTTTCTATATTTTCTTATATTCAAAATGTTTTGGTTTCCGTACAGGTATCTGTCGCCGGTTACACTGCCGGACAACGTGCGAAGCACGTGCCACGTGGAAAGTACGTGGCCGGAGTATCTATCCTCGCTGGAACTTCAATCACAATGTTCTTGCTTGTTGTCCTCAACGTCTTTCCTTTCACTCCGAGGTATATGATCCCAATCGCCGGAATGATGGTCGGGAACGCCATGACGGTAACCGGAGTTACCATGAAACAGCTTCGAGATGACATCAAAATGCAACTCAACCTGGTAAAAATACACTCCTTCACAAACTTAAACCGAACCAAATTCCCGGTTTAATTAGATTTTCTGGTTCAATTTTGTCATCAACCGTAGGTGGAGACGGCATTGGCACTAGGAGCAACACCAAGACAAGCGACGTTGCAACAGGTGAAGAGAGCATTGGTGATCTCTTTATCTCCGGTTTTGGATAGCTGCAAAACTGTTGGATTGATCTCTCTACCAGGCGCGATGACCGGTATGATAATGGGTGGTGCGTCGCCTCTTGAAGCTATTCAGCTTCAGATTGTAGTCATGAACATGATGGTTGGAGCAGCAACAGTTAGTAGCATCACGTCTACGTATCTTTGTTGGCCATCTTTCTTCACTAAAGCTTACCAGTTACAAACTCATGTCTTCTCCTCAAATTGAAACTTTTATAAATCCTTTTAACAATCTTTGAAAACTTGTCCGAAAAAGAAAACGCCACAACATTATGTCTTAAATAGAAAAACTCTTGATAACATGCAACTTAAAAGGGTCTAAAGCAAACACACTTGAAAGAGAAAGGAAGTATCTAGCAGTCGATCCAATAGTACACATGCTACAATGCCTGCAACCTGAGAGGCCATGAGGCATCAAAGTTAAGGGGACTCGCTTCCTCTAGGGGAAGCACGGTTTGGCTCGTAATCATCATCAACGGGGCTCTGGTCCTCTTTCGGGCTGTCACCGCCGGCTCCTACAACAGGACTGACAACAGAGTTTCTGCCATTTCCATTGTCTTGGGGGCTACCACCGTCACGGTCTGATCCGTCTTCCTTTTGAAGCTTTGGTGATGGTGGCGGGCTCCCGTCTATGATCTTTGGGCTGCCTTCATCATCAAGAACCGGACTACGATCTCTGACTCTTGGCGATAGAGAGTCATCCATTCGCTTTGGACTGCGTGATCTCTCCTCCACACTCCTCTCTCTTCTTCTCACCGGGGATCGTGATCGGCTGACCATAAGGAAAATAAGAAGTCAATCAGAGTGCTAAACAATTTAAACCAGACACAAAGCTAGAGAAAGCAGTTACTCGGGTTCATGCTTTCAGGTTCATACATAAATCTAATGCATGTAAGCATCTAAACATAAACCAAGATACTGAATATTACAAGGGAAAATACTAACCTGTAGCTTCGGCTTCGGCTAAGACTCCGGCTTGGGCTTCTTCTACGACGAGGAGAACGGGATCTTACAGGTGACCTGGAATAGCTTCCACTCCGCCTGCCATACAATCCAGAAAGTGATATAAGAAACTGGAAAGAATAACAAAAATATGCATTTCTGAAAGAAATGTTAGTACCTAAGCTTCTTGGGGCTGTTTTTGCAGTTTCTCTCAATGTGTCCTCTCTCTCCACAACGGTAACACTTGTTCTTCCAGTCCCCTGCTGTGCAATCTCGAGCCCAATGACCATCAACACCACAGTTAAAACAGCGACCAGCTCCCGGAGGTGGGCCTCTGCTATCATAATCCCGAGAACCACGAGGTGCCTATCATACAAACATAATATTGATTTCCATGAGTTTGGCAAATACATTCAACCATACATATAAAAAAATGATAGACCCTGAAAATAGAGAGCCAAACAACTCACCCCTCTTGAAAACTCCACAGTGATGCGACTTCCATCAAAGTCTCGTCCATCCAAGTAATGTCTCGCGTCATCAGCATCACGGGGATCACCAAATTCCTGATTTCAAAAATGTGAGGACAAAAACCACATGCATAGTATGTTTTCTCACATCATACATTGGTTACAATTAAAAAAAGAAGAACTACATGACATTTTCAAGCAATCGAAAGCTCAGGGTAAAAGGAGATTTTACTTACAACAAAAGCATAATCTCGCTTCATATCCACATCTCGCACTCTGCGGAAGAAATTGTTGGAAGAAAAGTAAGGCCATCATTACTTTAAGGTACTTCTAAACACCATTTTGAGACTGAGTCTCCATTTCCATCAAAACACATAAAAAAAATTCTACAAACAGAATCGCCAAGGCGGCCCCGCCCCCTATACACTTGGCGAGAATTTCCACCAAGTCCACCCATTCATCAAACACCTCCAGGTTAGGCAAAATCCCAGAGACCTTCAATAAGATCATTCAAGTTAAAAACATACACTAAACCTAGATCCACAATCTTCCCTCAAGAACACAAATATCAAAATAAAGAAGCAAAAATATGCCCCTCGATACTTAGTGATAACTTTCTGCATTTGTCCCTCAGACTACAAATTCTCAAAATTTACGAAGATAAATAAAAAAGGCTCATGCAGACTCTCATTTAACTAACCCCCAACACATAGAAATCAATCAAAACAAAGAAGCATTATGCCCCCAATACTTTTAGCTTTCTGCATCTCGTTCCTCACACAATAGCAAACAAATTCTCAGTATCTACGAACATAACTAGAAAAAGCACATTGAGACCCTCATTCCCCAAGACTAGAAATCAATATTCTTCAATCATACTCAGAGATAGAGATATAGACGACTCAGATTACCTTCCGTAATCATAGATAGAGATATAAACTTTCATTCATAATCATAGAAAGAGATATAGAAGAGTCAATTACCTTCCGTATCTGCTAAAAAGACGTTCAAGGTCTCGGGTCCTAGTTCTGGATGACAAGCGGCCAACATAAAGACGAGTGTTCCCATAGCGATCATCGTAGCGAGGCATTTTCAAACTGCGACAAAAAAGGGACAAAGAAGCCACAAATTTGAGCATAACCTGTTAGAAACTATATAACAAGAAACGTAACAACAATTCACTAACTCAAGACCAATAAGAAGAAGAACAAACGCCCCAAAGGAAAGTAAAACTTCAATCAAACGCCACTCAGCTAATTCAGAGACAAGGAAGCAATTAATCGGAAGGACAGAAGCAATCGGAAACCATCACCGCAGATGCATCGAAACCAATATAAAATCGTAAATCCGAGCTCGGAAAACACTAAATTTCAATCTGAATCATCGAATTGAGCAGATTTTTTATACCTGGGGATTGAAGGAGATCACTGCGAAACCCGGAAGCCCTAATTTCGAGAGGAAAGGGGGAAGAAGAGCGTAAGGTAGCAAAAATCTGGTTTTCAAGAGTTTATAAAATGGGCTTTCAGACAGGACCGACTAGATCCAACTGTAGTGATTTGGTGTTGTCTTTTAAACCAAAAGGGTATCGATGTGACCGATATTATACCATTTTCGCAATCTGTTGGGCCTAAAATTGAATTAAGCCCATTTAATTATGTGTAAATTGTAAAATAAGAATGGTTTTGAAATCATAAAATAGATTTTTCAGAACCAAGGAGGTTTGCAATTCTTTTGTATCTCTTGGTGATCTTCTTTGTTACACACTCTGATCACATTTGCTCAAGTTTATTTTAAAAGGTATCCATACTAAACTATATAATAGTGATGCAAATTCATTATAAAAAATTGGATCATCTATAAACTATTCCCATATGAACAAATCAAATTCACCTGATTTAGGATAAAAATAAAGAAGATATATATACAGTATATTAAATATTTCATTTCATAAATAATGACTTTATAATTCTTCTCAAAGGGAGATTAAAAATACACATTTAACTAATCGATAAATTATAACAAAGAAATACAAATATATAATTGAAAGGAAAAAAAAAATTACAACGAACCTTTGCTTTCTTATTTTTTCTTAATTTCCCAACCAAAAAAAAAATTGTTTAAATCATCACCTCCGTTTGTTCTTGCTCCCAATCAACAAAGTGAAATAAAACAAAACCCTAAAGAAAAATCCCCAAGCAACAGTAATCCACAAACAATTCCATTTACTAAGATCCGTAATCCCTTGCTGCTTCAATATATCAATCCCCGTCGTCACACACGTCTCCGCCGTCACATTCGTCCCCAAAACACCGCTCATACTCTTCAACAGATTCAATTTCACGTCGTTCGGAAACTCCCCCAACGGCGAATTATCAAAAATCTGAACTCCTCTGACGAAACATTTCGTCGGATCTTCGAATTCGTTCTGCAACACTCCTTCGTAAGGGTATTTCACTAAGGAGATGTAATGGAACCAGAGCCAGTAAACAGGGATTCGATCTCTGGAGATGAAGAATCCGGAGAAGAGGAGGAAGTAAGCGAGGATCGCTACAACGATTGTGAATCCGAGCATTACGTTGGCGACGACGCCGGAGAGGAATGTTACGAAGGAGCTTCCGGCCCAGAATGAGGCGAGGATTGTGAGGAAGAAGAAGAGGAAACCACTTGAGCCTCCGGAGAGACCAACGGCCCAGAATGTTGTGGCGGCGAAGCTTGCGGAGAGGAAGATTAAGGCAGGGATTGAGATTATGGATTGAGAGAGGACGTAGGAGGATCTCCGGTAAGCGTTGTAAGCTGTTTCTCTCATGAATATGTAACGTTCTTCTAGAAACACTGGGATTGCTTCTGCACATGTGTAGAATGTCGTTGACATTGCGAATGCGAAGAATCCTAGACGTTCTTGTGCTCCTTTTGGGGAATTGTCTAGGTTAGTGAACATTGTGGCTAGGATGATTCCGGTCACCATTACAGCTCCTAGTCGCATTCCGAGGAGCTCTGGTTGTCTCATTGAGTTTAGTATAGCGCGTTTGCCTATGACGATCATTTCGATCCAGAAAGGATTGGCGAAAGTTTGGAATGAGGGTGTTAGGTTTGATGAGTTGTTTGTTGCTCCAGAGACGAGTTTCCCTCTGGAGATACTCGCGGTTATCGCTTCTTTGAGAGATGCGTTGTTGTTTTTCTTGTTACCATTGCTATAGCTTGGTGATTGCGCTTGCTTTGCTCGCCATTTCTTGTGGAACTCGACAAGTGGCTTGGTTCCTCCTGCAGAATTTTCCAGCTCTCGGATCAGATCGAGAGCAAACTCTGTTTTGTTCTCGTTTTCAGGAATCGGGTGCTCGAATTCTGAGAAGAACTGTGGGAGATGTGTTGGTGAGCCGCTGTAAACCGTGTTTCCCCTAGAAAGGAAGATTAACTGATCTAGCAAACCCATGATTCTGTAACTAGGCTGATGGATTGACATGATAACTATGCTGCCACTCTGTGCGATTCTCTGAAGCACTTTGATAACCATGTAGGCGCTCGTAGAGTCAAGCCCTGAGGTTGGCTCGTCGAGAAAGAGGATAATTGGGTCATGGATTATGTCGTTTCCAATTGAAACCCGTCTCCTTTCTCCTCCAGACACGCCTCTGTGGCCTTCATCACCAATCACGGTTTTTGCAGCGCTCCTTAGGCCCAATTGGTCAATCAGAGCTTGAACCCTTGCTTTCTTCTTCTTCTTGGAGAGTGAACGAGGGAGCCTGAACTCTGCAGAGAACATTAGAGTTTCCTCCACGGTAAGCATCGGGAAGAGAAGGTCGTCTTGCATCACATAAGCCGATATGACTTTCTGCAGGCTGGATTCAAGAACTTCTCCGTTTAAGGTAATGGATCCCCTGAGGCTATCTTTTGCGATCCGGTTGGCTAATGCATCGATCAGCGTTGATTTACCAGACCCACTTGCTCCAAGAACAGCCATCATCTCCCCTTCATGGGCTTCACCTGAAATTCCATTCAATAGTATCTTAGTGTTCACCGAGGAACCGTTTCGTGACTTTCTGCAGCAAGCAAGGGGATTAAACTTCTTCTGGATGTTCACGCTGTAGGTCAAGTCGTTGAATGAAAGAACAAACGGGGAAGAAGATATAGAAGAAGCAGGAGCAGAGGTCCATGAATTGAAAGAGGATGCAGACGAAGTGATTGGTGAGGCAATTCCTAGAGCCCGGCTACTTGCACTTTCATCATTCCTTGCATCCTCCACATTCATAAGATGCTCGGCGAATGTGACAGAGACTCTAGGCGTGTCGCTTGGACGTCTTTGAGGCTCCACGGACATCGTGTTTACATAAAACAGAGGAAGATCATTGTTGCCGTCTACTCGTTTGGCCGGAGATAATTTTCCCAAGCCAGACATTTTCTATATTTTTTTGTCTTAATCTTCTCAGGCTATATGGGTTATATAGCTCATACCCACAAAGAAGAAATGAATAGGAGGAATAAGAAAAGAGTATTATAAAGAGATTTTTTTTTTAATTATAAGAATGAAAGAGATACGAAATGGTCAATATAGTTGGTACTCTCTGTGTATCTAACGATAGCTTTTGGGTTTTGTATGTTTTGATGTAATGTAGAAAACCTAAAAGTAAATGGGTAGGTGAGAGGAAGTTGTACAAAAACCCCTTCTCAATTTTCTTCCTCATTATGTTTATGTCTATTTCTTGGGGCTTAAGGTAGTTTGAAAATTTGCTATTTTCTTTTTTTTTTTTTTTTTTTTTTTTTTTTTTTTTTTTTTTTTTTTTTTAAATTTGCTATTTTCTAGAGTTTTAAGTAATTATTTGGGTTTAGTTACACGGGTCTTAAGGGTTGAGAGTAACGTCCGTGCAAAATTAGATTTAACTGCTAGTGAGAAGCCGTCCAAATCGTGCCAAATCTGCAAACTCGTACCTATCTTATTAAACTAACGATATTAAATTGTCTTATTTTTTAATTCTATTAGTGTAATTTAGTATATCACCACTTCTCCCAAAACTGTCGTATCTTTTTTGACATCCGAAATTTTTCATAAATAATTTTTTTTTTTTTTGGAGAATAAGATGGTTGATATTTTTTATTGGGAAATACCACAAAATAACATGCTTTTAGTGGATCCTTAATTATATTTAGCAAAGAGAAAAAGTCACATTCCTATGTAATTCAGTACATGTCCTCCATGACCATAATCAATCGAACCAAAAAAGATGTTCAGAATCAATCACATACTAGACCATGTCCTTAAAAATGTTTTTTAAAAATAGAGGAAATTATTGAATTAAGCAACAAAAAATACAAGTTAAAATTGGATAAACCAAATATAGATCACTCCTCTCATTAGTCATTATTACTCAATAAGTCATAACTAACTGACTATAGTAGAAAAGTCCATAAAATTTTACGTATACCATTTCGATTTCGATTTGAAACAGGAGACCACAACTTAAATTCAGTGGCGGAGCTACATAGAAGTTAGTGGGGTCAGTTGACCCCAATAAACTTTCATAAATTAAAATTTTGTTATACAAATTAACTAAGAAATTAGATCAAATGGTTTAAAATCTTATAGTTGACCCCACTAACAGATCTTTAAATCTCTCTTGACCATTAATCACGTACAAAAAAATACCAGCTTCTTACTTTTTTTTTTTAACTTAAGCTCATGATTTTTTACTATTCTTATATTTTAAACAAAAACTTCTGTTTTGTTCTCACACTTTTGGTTATATTGTGCTTACATTTTCTGTGGATTTTTTTTTTAATGTTTTTTATATACATTAACTGAATTTTCAACATAGTGACTTAGTAAGTCAATACTTTTATATTGTTGTTTTCGTATTTAATGTTTTATATAATAAGATTGACCCCAATAAAAACAGGTTCTAGATCCGCCACTGCTTAAATTACTAGAGGTTTATCAAGAAATAAGCAAGCTTTTATGTGTAACATTGGTATCCTGTGCAACATGGGCATATAGTAATTAATTAGTAACTAGGAAGTCACTGGAACATAAATGTGGACACGACTTCAATAGTATGAGTGGGCTACACGAAAACCAAAAATCTCATTAACGTGATATAATAGGCATACAATACCCAGAAGAAATGCATAATATAAGCCTAACGTGGAGAAGTAATCATAATAAACGTTTGGTATGGCTGTTATATCTATTTTTTCAGGACTTTATACTATACGCTTCATTATATAAGACCTAAAAATGATTCTATTTACACATTCTTACAAGAAATCTCACGACACACAGAAAAATATACATGTAATACTATATGTTTGTTTTATGACGCGCGTCCCTTTCAATTTTGTTTAATACTTAAAATAAATGTTGAACAAATTCTTATATTGTATATATAAACAAATGTTATACAAATGAGAACCACAGAGTTCCGGTAGCTAATTTGGTCGAACAAGAATGTTCTTAATTAATTAGAAAGATTTGATGGCTGTTCCTGGTCGCTGGAGAATATGGTATAAACTTTCTAATATAACTAACGCAAAATATCCAAGAATATCTGGTTTTGAATTGAATGATCCCTTAAAATATGTTGTTGGACCAACAACTACGAAACGAATAAAATTTTGTTGTAATTGATTGCTAGCAACTGTAAACCGCAAACAAATTAAACGAAACTATATATCATATAAATTTTGCATAACTATGATTTGTTTTATCAAAATATATAACTTTTAAGTGAAATTTTAGATCAAGCTGCAATACTAACTAATCAAAATAAAAGGTTCAATTTGATAAAGAAGATGTGTGGTCGTTGACAAAAATAAAAGATATATGCTCTCTGACGTTAATGGTCTCATCATGCGAATATTACCTTTCAAAATCTAAAAACCTTTTGAGCATGGATTGCTAGATTAGGATGTATTAAAAGTCAATGCTCAGAAGCTGAAATCAAAATCACAATTACCGAAAAAAGCAAAACATGTAGCAAACACTTTATAACTTATTCACATAGAGCGCTTGCAAGATACCATTCTAAGCTAAGTGTTTGTTGTGCTTGAGTCTTACAAAACTGAATTTCATTACAGTCATTCTCACGTACACGGGATAGAATATGATTATCAATTATCAAATCAAAACACCTACAAAAAAAAGCAAACGTCTTAAATTTATTCTCTGTTATATCATTTAAATGTCTTCTCTCGGCCCAAATTCTAATTTTCAAGTGGTACTATACAAATACTATATCATCATATTAGTTGCTACCAATTGACGAACTTCTCTTATTATACGACAACCACATGCATTACAGTTACTTTTAAGCATTGTTACGATAAGATAAGGAAAATATACGCAAGTGAGTAATACTGCATTAATTGATAGATTCTCCTACAGCCATCGATTTTTTTTTGTGCATGTAAGTTATAACTATAAATAAGCATAGTACAATCTCTTTCACCGATCGAGTTATTCTGGTTTAGCGGGGTTTTTATAGTCCTCATCTCTCCTTTACGCAACTTATTATCCTCCTTGAGTTAAGTGGTATTGTTATAGGGACTAGGGAGCATTGTCATCAATATTGTTCTGCTTGGAGCAGAAGCGAGGTATGTTGTTCAAGACGGGTCTCGTTAAGAAAATAGTTGACCGTTTGACTCTAGAAGCATTGTTTCCTCCTTGTGGTTTCGGCGAGGACTACGGATTTGAAGAATTCGGTATTATCGATTGTTCTTGATTAGATTCTTCTTTGGTAGAACTCGTGAATTCACCCTTATCCCTAAGTCTATATTTGAGCTTTGTTGTTATTTTTTGCTTGCCCTCTTACTCGATCACTTTGTTGGTCATTCTATTAGATGTTTCGAGTCTTTGTAGCCTTGTTCTATATTCTTTTAATGGATGTTAAACTTCTGTCTTTTTAATGAAATGCTAAGTTTGTCCCCAGAAAAAAAAAACGTAGTACTTGAAATAAAGTTAACACTAAACTTATAGCAAGTTAGCTAGCATCAAAGACATCTAAACTATTAATTGCTTAAGGCTGCTATGGCTACAACTGACCAACACTAATCTATATATTATGTTGTTGCCTCCAACATCAATCTATGCATACAAAAATGTTTTGGTAGACTTATAATTTGTTTGCTATAATTTTGACCGGACTTTTTAGAAGTATGTTTTAATTTATGATTAAGGCATACTTGCAATTGGCAGATATAAGTCTGCTATGACTGCGACAAACTTGCTTGATTCTTCTTTGATTTCGGTAGACTTTAATTACGTAATTGTGCTATGATCACGACATACTTACTTAAAAACTCTATGCATGGGAGAGTTATAGCATTTTTTTAATGCTATAACCCCACATATTTTTCGAAGATCCACACGGTATATGTGATTATTCGTCAATAACAAACAAAAATTGACCACAAACTACATGTGTAAGACTGTAACCATGACAACAAAAACCGGCTAGTAAATTTGTGGCCTATTCAACCACAAAAATGTCATCAAAACAACCATATATGATAATATGATTTTTGCTGTATAAATAATTGAATTTTTGTTTTCTTTGTAACTAAGTTATTTGAGTGAAAAAATAGATTGATGGGTTGTATCTTATTTTAGCTATCTAAAAAAATGTATTATATAAGATTATTTTTTGATATTAACATCAAATTATGTAAGGCAACTTTTTCTATCTTATATATCTTAAAAGATAATATTTTTGAAAGAGAAAAAAAAATATATTTATAATAAGCCACAATTGGCGTAAATAAATGCAAAATAACAAATTGGATTAGAATAATTTGGTAAGTATTGAATAATTATTAAACAAGTCCAAATTGAACACCTAAAATAAAATAAAGGTCATCAAAATAATAAAATAAATAAAAAGACACATAGGAAAATGTTGAAAAGAACACGCTGCGTCTGACTGATTCTCCAATCTCTCGCATTGTTGTGCACTCTGTTTTGTTTTTGGTCTCTCCATGCGATCTTATTTTTCTCCAACCAGTAATATCGTTAGAAACCAGAACAACGAGACCCTAATTTTAGCCTAATTCAAAAATCAAAATCCGATCATCGACAACTTGTGAATTTTCGGAGAAGAAGAAACGAGAACAAAAGAAAGAATCTCGGCGATGTCGTGGTTGAGATCGGCGGTGAACAAAGCAGTTGAAGTCGGCGGGAAGAACAATATCACCCGCACCGTTCGCAATTACGCTGATTCCGTCGTCCTTACCGCCGGCAATGCCGTTTCCGAAGGCGCCAAACTCATCCAGGATCGCATCGTACGTTATCTCTTAATTTCTCTTCTTCTTATTAATATTGAAATTCTAATCCTCGATGTATGTGTTTGAAATGTAGGGATCGAGGAATGTGAAGAGCTTTAGTCTCGCGGTGAAGAGATTAGAAGAGGTTTCGGTTTCTTCGAGAGGAGGCGAGAGAGTGCAGTTGTTGAGAAGATGGCTTGTTGCTTTGAAAGAGATTGAGAGAATGTCTTATTCTTGTTTCGATAATAACAATCACAAAACCGATGATCATAATCAACCTTATTCAGAAGAAGCTAAAGATTCTCCTAAAAACTTCAGCACCGTGAGTAATCCAACAATCTGCATGTCTTTGATCATAGCTCAATCATGTTGGCTAATAAATTTGAGAACTTGTATAGGTTTATTACGTTGATCCTGGTCTTCCCGGTGAGCCAATGACTTTCCGCGATGTGTTTCTTCATAGCGAGGCGCTTGAAGGGATGGTCTTGTCTATGGTAAGTTAGATATAATGCAATGTGTGTCAGTGTTGTAATAGTGATCATTGGTTAACTCTTTTTTTGAATCAGATTTTGGAAGCACCCAATGAGGAAGAAGTCCAGCTGCTTTTGGAACTGTTTGGGTGATGTTTTCATTTCCATTGAAAAAACTCTGTTTCAGTTACTTTAAGAGAAAGTGAAGCCTTGCATATTAACTCAAATGATCATGGTTGATATATACAGGCTCTGTTTGTCAGGAGAGAAGGAAGTTCATGAAGCAGTGATTCAAAATGTGCAGGACTTAGCAACGGTGTTTTCGAAATACAAGGATGAAGTTCTAGTAAGGATGTGTTGGATTTTGCAAAATATGTGTTCTGTTTCCTAGACTCTGTTCTTGGCTTGCACCATGTAATGCCTTGTTATGTCATTTTCTAGGCAAAGCGCGAGGAACTGCTTCAATATGTCCAAGGTGCTATTGGAGGGTTAAAAATTAGTGCTGATCTTGCAAGGTATACTTGGATCAGAACCCTTTTACAAGATCCATAAATGTTCCTGTGTTGAAGCTTTGTGTGGCGATTTAAGAATGTTCAAGTCTTAAGATTTTACTTCTTTTTGTTTCGGTTCTCGTTTGTAACTGGCTCAGAATAGATATTGAAGCCCATAGTCTGATGGAGAAACTCGATAAGACGAAGGTCAAGGTTCTCGAACACGCTTCTAATGAAGATGCTTCAAAAACTGCTGCATCAACAGAGGTGATATTTACTCTCCTACTTTCCACTGCCACATTTTTCACTCTAAGTTTGGTTGCATTAGATTTGGTCTCAGATTTCCAACAATTGTTCTTATCTTGTATAGAAGAGCGCGTAAACTGTAATATTTCGATTAGATTTTCACGAATATAACAAATGGAAGAAAGTACTGTGAGGTTTCTAGGAAAATCTTTATTCCATTATTTTGTTTCCCAAGTATTTTCATGATTTATGTCAACACATCCCTGGATCAATCCCTGTGAGATGTACTGAAAATTTTGGTGGTCGTTGCAGGCTCTCCGGGAAATTCTTGAACAAGTTCGCACTTTTACAAAACTAGAAGCACTCTTGCTTAGGAAAAAATCATTACGCAATGGTGATTCCCTTCAACGCCACAGTGAGAAGGTGAGAAACTGCAGACAATCCTGAACATTCACCATTTTTGTTGGTTTGTTCTTATTTGTTTATTAGCTTCTTTTTTTTCTCAAAATCTTGGAAATACGAAGATCTATTTAGTGAATTCTTGCTAAGATTCACTATTTGTATCTTTCAGGTCGATAAACTAAAAGTTCTGTCAGAATCCTTACTCAATTCAACCTCGAAAGCCGAAAAGCGAATCGTGGATCATAGGTGAGAAAATGTAACTTGGCAATCTCAAATTTTATCTACAATCTTTACTACCATATTTCAGAGCCATCTTTTTCCATATGACAAAGCAGAAGCCAAAAAGAAGAAGCTCTAAGCTACCGAGTTTCTAAAACTACTGAAGTTGGTCAGCTGGAGAAGGTTTGCAACCCCTTTTTGGCTTTGTTAATGAGATATTGGCTTAGTACTGGTCTGGTACATCTTCTTATTAAGGCCTGAGTACAAATGTTATTTTCAGGATGTAGCTGCAGAATTAAAAAAACTTGAGATTTTGAAGGATGATCTTGAAGCTGAGCTGAAAAGGGTAACTTTCACAAGAACTTTGTTCAAAAGAAATATAGTGAACTGGTAGAGATTTAGATTTGTAGGTCATATTACAGAGTTCACATGTATTTTGAAGGTCAACACCTCAATAACATCTGCCCGGGCTCGCCTTCGCAATGCCCAAGAAGAAAGAGAGCAGTTCGATAATGCGAGTAACGAAATTCTTATGCACCTGAAGTCAAAGGTACTTAACTACTTTGTCCTTCCTCATTGTATTAGCCCATAAGAGTATATAGTTTGTGATGTTTGGCTGCGATATTTTGTAGGAAGAAGAGCTGACTCGTTCGATAACTTCATGCCGAGTAGAGGCAGATGTTGTAAATAAGTGGATCAAATTTTTGGAAGATACCTGGATTCTCCAGTCTAAATTTTCTCAACAAAAGGAAAACCAAGTGAGGTATGTCCTGTCTCCACTTTGCAAAGATCTCAGCAATTGTGTTGATTCCCTAATTACTTTCTGTCTTTTACCATGGATCGATACTCAAGTGGTGAGATGGAGAGATATAGTGACCATTTCATCGACCTAATTGTTCAACTCCTATCTTTCTATAAGGTAATTCAAAATGTTTATCACAAAACTTGTGCCAAATGTATTATGATACAGTAGAGAAAATGTATCCATTTTTTGAAACAAAAAATTGATTCATATTTTTAATGTCAAATCAGGAACAATTGGATCCTTCTATACCGAAAATCCGAGGAGTCGTGGAAAGTTTGGAACCAAGTAAAGGGTAATATATATATGATCACTTCTCTGTTCTTGCAAATTTAATTTGACACTAAGTTAGGCTGATAGCTATAGCTGATCTGCTTATGGGGAAATATTAGGTTAGAAGCAGAGAAAATCACAGACAACAAGGATACAAAGCCATTCGATTCTAGAAAACAGCTTGAGAAGGAGTATCTCGACCTCGAAGCTAAGGTAAATATGGCTTTACGAAATAGACACCTAGATCACTTTTATCAATGTGCATAATAAAACAGAACATTCCTAAGCTTGTGGCACAAGTTTATACTCTGCCCGTTCTTTTCCATAACAGCTCTTCTGATTATTTATTAGCTTTTAACAGTTTGTAACAACATTAAGTGTGGTGGATGCGATGAAAAAGCCATTCTATTCGCAAACAGAAGGTATCTCCAGGTAAAGTTACAAAAACATTCCCGTTCTTTTGTAAAAACTATAGTCAAGATCTTACTTTACTTTTGTTTTAACCGTTCTTGGTGTTCTTTGGATCCAGGAAAGACGATAAAAGAGTGAAAGAACTATTTGAGGTATTGGACAAAACAAAACAAGAGTTTGAGGCTATCGAACGCCCGCTTTTGGATATTGAGTCTCCTTCTAGAACCTCATCATCTTCACGCTCACCGTCCCTGAAAATGACGCATGAGACTCCACTTTCCGATACAGTCCTGAAACTTTCCGGTGATGATGATTCACCAGACAGTAAAAAAGGGTCTTCAGAGAAGGAAGAAGACCCGGCAAAGAAACAACTCGAGTTGGAACTGGACGTCGAGGGAGAAGAGTTCTTGGCAGATGAAATCAATGACTGGGAATTCGACGCTCTTGATGAAACTCTCACCTCAAAAACCAGTAGTTGATCTCCCAAATTTTGCAATGGTAAGCCACATTACAAGAAGCTTTCAAAATTCACATGTTTTTAGGTAATATACATTGTAGATGTTAATGTTACATTTTATTATGTCATTGTTCTTGTAGGAGATGATGGAGGAAGAGGAGAGTATATATAATTACTATCTAACTAAAATGATTCGAAATTTCCAAAGTATAAACCATAAAATGACATTGTAAGTTTATTTCGTCTTTTTGAACCTATAATATGAAATATGATCAAGTGTAGATAATATTATAGCCACCCAATAAGTTTTGTACAGTACTCTCACCTCTCCCGGCATATTTTTGGCCTTTTTCCGCCGGGGATAAGAATTATATATTTATGTTTTCATTTTTGTTCCTAGTTGATATTTTTCAAGTAGACGATATCAATGGATGCAATTGTTCTTGGCATATTATATTGGTTCAAAATTTGAATGGGAAATGCATTCACTGTGTTCAGTACATTTATATGATATAAATGCATTTGTTACCTCAACCCAAAACAATGCTTTTATTGCTTGTTGAACGCACTAAAAAAAAGTTTGCACATTTCTTTTGTCCTGCCAATGCCAACGCCCACCACTTAGAAATATATACGTATAATATATACGTATAATATATACACATCCGAATTTTTCTAAGTCAATGATTTGCTTTTAAGTTAAAACTAGGTCGAAACCCGCGCTCCGCCGCGGGATATTTTTAAATGATTTTTTTTAATATTGAAGAAATTTTAAATTTGAGAAATGATTTTAATTAAATATTTAATATTTAAATACTTTGAAGGCAAAAAAAAACCAAATCAAATTTAAATGTTAAACTCAGACCAAACCGTAAATCAATTTTAGTATTCAGATAAAATTTGTATCCCGAAAATGTCAGAAAACGATCATTTTTTTCTGGAAAAACAGATGAACAAAGGAGAGAGATAGATTAGATAAACAGTTAAACGGAGAGAAAAAAAAAGGAAGACCTTTGGTTTCATATCTGAAAAACTTTCACTAAAGGCACCCAATGAGAGACGATTGCTTTACTTTGTGTCTAAAAGAGTTTCTATCGCCGGAGTGCGGCGGAGTTACGGCGGTGTTCCGCAATCGAACTCTAAATCTCCTACGTCTTTTTCTCAGTGATTGATGTAATTGGAATCTGAATTCAGTGCCCATAAGTAAATATCTTTCTTTCTTCTTATTTTTTTCTCAAGTTTCCGTTTTTGTTTTCTCCGATTTGAATATATCGTCGATGAAATCGTTGAGCTTTTATTTTTGATAAAAGTTATGATATTTGGTTCGATCGGACTTATATGTATATGGACATGTCATAGCTGTATAGAACTCATGGCTTAGATACTTGAAAATATGTTATATGGAATGATCATCTTTGATTTTAATGTTCCATATGTTGAAGAGGCGTAAAAGGCTAAGAGCTTTGTTTGTTTATTTTTCGTAATTTGAAAATTGAAATTTTGTTTTATTATAGGAGTATAGAACGTTACTCAAATGATTTTTAGTTATTGATTAAGATCCATGATAACGCTTAATAAATCTTATAATATTTTATTGCAATAGTTCTTATCCAATTCGATTTGTATCCAATTTTATCCAAAGGGTAAACATTACAAGTAAGGGCTTGACTGGTTTAAACGCAGCGGTTGCGGTTGTGGAAGTTTGCGGAAGCGGGCGGTTTTTAAAGCTAATAATAACTTTTAGCGCGAGTTTTCTATCACATATTCTTGACATATTATATTTACAAAAATATATAAAATATTTAATTCTATATATGATATATTAATTTTTATATATATATATATGTAGCGCGGACCAATCCGTCAATCTTCGGGCATAACTTTCTAAAATCCGCAATCCGTGTAGGATTGCCCGCAAGATCTTTTTTTTAACGGATTTAATATTTTGTGTTCATAACCGGACCGGACTGGGTTAAGCCCATGAGTTTAAGCCCATTTTGATATTTCTATATAAGAGAATAATGTGGAAAAATGAAATGTTCTTATTGGATATGAAAAATGAGTTGTATTATTTAGAATGTTTTCATTGGTCATTCATTTTAACTGAGGTGTCAACACCACAATGCTTAAAAAAGCTGAGGTGTCAACCTCTGGAGAGATTCAAGGGTTATTATTGTATTGATCTCAAAATCTTTGCCATTTAATAAAAACAACAATTTTATAACTATATATCTTGTTTGCACTGACACACACCTTGTTTGCTTCAGCTGGATCACAGATCCTTCAAAATGTATTTTTTTTTTTAAAGTCAGACAAGTCATGAGATCCGATTTAAGTTGATTGACATATTTTTGGTTTGAAACAACAAAAGCTGCCGAATGGTTTTTGTTGTTATCATTTGGTGTCTTGGCTTAGTCCTACCTGAATAGTTCAATTTCCTTATATTTTTAAAATTATTTCAAGAGGTTCAAATTCGAATTACGTGGTAGCTAAAGATATGATGAATGCACAAAACAATTTCATGTCCACTTGTTGTTAGAAGAAGTAAATAAAACTATATGAATCATCAGAAAATAAAAACAGGTAGGTCCACATTTTTTATGAAGTGTGGTGGTCTTATGGTGTGCATATGTTTTTGACTCAGAGAGAGGCTTCCCACACTCATTCCATTAACTCAAATTAGTGGGTTCTAAAAAGTAATTAAGGATTTGTTTACAAGTTCATCTAAATCTTATTCCCACTTTTCTTTGTTAGTATATCTTTTCAATCATATACTCTCCTTTCCTTACTTATTCAAACCATATATGTATAAGTTAGAGAAATTTCAGATTTTGGATTGTGTTGTCGTTGTCATATTTTTAATTTATTCATAGTGTGAGATATTAAAGAAAAAAAGTTGAAAGTGTAGTTGTTCTCATCATTCCACATCTTTACCACACTAGTATGTATATGTTAAATCTCAGAATGCTAAAATTATAAAAGTTCTTGCTGGAAAAGAAGTTAGTAATTATTTTACTAAACAAATAAAATGTCATTGGCATTTACTTTGTGAGGTGTTTCAATGATTGAAAAAGAGAAGAACTAACTCACTCTGGCTTTTTAGGTACTTCGCTGTGTACGACGACAGTCGACAGAGTTCCCACTCCAATACCAACTAAGACATCATTTGTACGGAGTTACCAACTAAATTGTACAATTACACTAAACCTTCCTTTCTTTTATGATGAACTATTCGTTATTAGTAGGTATTCCAAATATATATAAAATTCAACTACTGATCATAATATGGACCATGCTAAATTGCTAATCTTCATGTATTGTTATAATTTTACCGAACATTCTGAAGGAACGTGCACATAATATGCTATTCCTTAGAAATAGTATTCGGTTAAGTGGTCTTTAAATACTATTAAGTTGCATGTAACCGATTTGACCAAAACTCCAACCTCTAATAATCTAATGTGTAAATATGACGAGGTACAAACTCCATTTTTTTTTTTGTCAAACAAGTACAAACTACATAAAATCAAATTTTCTTTACTTCATTTGTACGATCTTATTTCTAAATTCGTTACTCAGTAAAAAAAAGAAAAAGGAAAGTATATAAATCTTACATATGTGATTATTATTATGAATAAAGAAAGTAGAAAGCGAAAAGACTTGAAAAATTAGTATAGGAGTGTGGGGATGAAAGTCACAATCCACTTACCCACAACCTGCAACAATTATTACCCTTTTTGGATTAAAAAGTAAAAAGATAAACTTTTTCACATGTAAAAACAATAATTTTTCTTTTAAAATTTTGGAATTTTTTTTTTTGTGAGATTGTGACTTTTGTCACCTATCGTTTGTGCTCTTTTACCATTCACGTGACCGTTGTTATTGTGGCCAATGAGACACGAGGGAAAGGATAAAATCACGATTTTATTTGTTCTAACTTCTAAGATATGGCGTTATGATTTAAACACTTTGATCATCTTTAATTAGTAGATTTTTCCCGTCTTTGTGCTCAAACTTATTGCTGATCAAACCAGAAACAATCAAAACCAAAAAATAAAACCGTTGAGAAACAGGACTTAGCTCAGAAGTCAGAATAGCATGATATCGTGTGTGTTGTGGTTCTGAGTGATGCTGGTTTTGAGAATACTTTTTATTTCTTTACCATACAATTGTCATTCACATGTTAATCTTGGATCACGGCCGGAGGACAATTTTAAGTTGAAATCCAAACTTTGAAATTAGTGAAGTTACTAGCAAAATGTGTTAAGTATCGAGAAAAAGAAAATCGAAAAACAGTTCAAGGTTGCGAAGGGCAAACGTAAGTACGAAGAATGGGAACATAATCTATTGGGGACTTCAAAATAGATCCATAAACTCATTAGTCGATCTAATTATTTGAACTCATCATTTTATTGACTAATAATAAAACAACCTAAAATATAATATAAAACTAAATATAATAGTGTGTATGTGAGTTAGACGACCACACAAATGAAAAAAAAAATGTCAAATCAATATGGTTTTAATATTAACATTTCATGAACTGTCCTTTATAAAAGTACCGTGAGATTATTCGTCCATATAATTGATCAAACCTAATACATTTTCACTATAAAATATCTCGGACATAAATTGTGTATTGTCCATCAAACTACTAAGTTTACTTCGAATGATGACGGAACCGTAAGGTGCGGTGTGATTCCAATAGTAACAAAATTTTCTACATATGTATGTGCATGTATATATTTTTGTTACTATTAAAACTACATCGCACTTTATCCGCAATTGAACCGCATGTCTTCATTTTGAGATTTCATGTATAACAAAAAATACCATATATTTCTAGAAAACACTACTTGCTGCGTCCACTCCATTACAAGCCATCAATCATGCATGTAGTAACAAAAGAATAACCAATGCAAATTCACACGCTGCAAAACAAAATTTTATATATATTAAAATTGTTTAGGTATTTTCTTTAATTACTAAAAAAAATGTATCCAACGGTAAACTTTGGAAATCGTGGTATCAAAAATAAGGGAGCCTAGGAAAAATGTGGTGGCCGTAGACAGAAATCATATTTTAAATATAGAAAATTTACATAATTTGGATGTATTACAATTCTTTTCTTGACTACAAAATTATTTAACGTGATTTTATTATTAAAAAAAAAACTGTAAATAAATTGAAAAAGGTGTAGTAGTAGCCACCTAGGCATTTAATTTAAAATTAACAAAAAAAAAACAATAAATAAAAAGAAAGTTCACTTTAAAAGATGCTCTTTCCCTCTTCTCAGTTCTCTCTCTCAGTCCCTAGAAGCTAAGTAAGTAAACCACAGAGAGAAAATATATACACAGACAGATACATACACTATTACATACATAGAGAGACATGGATTTGCATGAATCAGAATCAAGAACACATGTTTTGTCCAACGATGGTGATGATGGTTACATAGACTTAGAAGTCAATCTCTCTTCTTCTTCTTCTTCTTCTACTTCGTCCTCAAGCTTCTTCAGCTTCCCCGTCACTTCCTCGCCGCCGCAAAGCAGAGAGTTCGAGTTTCAAATGTGTTCCTCCGCCGTAGCTTCCGGTGAATCAACCACATCTCCGGCCGATGAGCTTTTCTACAAAGGTCAACTTCTTCCTCTTCATCTCCCTCCTCGTCTCAAAATGGTACAAAAGCTTCTTCTCGCTTCCTCCTCCTCCACCGCCGCAACAGAAACTCCTATTTCCCCACGCGCCACCGTATCCTCGCCGCGGAGATTCAGTAGCAGTGAGATCGGACAAGACGAGCAGTGTTTCTTTGAGATTTCGACAGAGCTCAAGAGATTCATTGAGAGCAACGAGAATCATCTTGGAAACAGTTGGAGCAAAAAGATCAAACATTCATCGATAACACAAAAGCTTAAAGCCTCACGCGCTTACATAAGAGCTCTGTTCTCAAAACAAGCCTGCTCAGATTCATCAGATATCAATCCAAGATTCAAAATTGAACCTTCTAAAGTCTCAAGAAAGAAGAACCCATTTGTGAACAGTGACAATCCTCAATTGTTTCATAGAAGATCCTTCTCTGGTGTGATACAGAGACATTCTCAAGCTAAGTGTTCAACATCTTCTTCTTCTTCTTCCTCTGCGTCTTCGTTGTCTTCTTCGTTCAGTTTTGGATCAAACGGGTCTTTGGATCTGCAGACACTGATGAGAAGCAGCAACGCGAGTGATAACTCCATTGAAGGAGCTATTGAGCATTGTAAGCAGTCGTTTACTACTAGGAAGAGCAATGTGACAGAATCTGAGCTCTGTTCTTCAAGAACCTCTGTTTCTACTTGTGGTGACCTTGAAAAAGATTGAGATTCTCAGATCTGTGAAGCTCTCTTTGATTCTCATTCCAAAAGGATACAAAAAAGGACGTAAAAAAGTTCAAAAAGATAACTTTTTCTTCTACTCTGATTTTTTTACTTTTGTATTTTAGATTCTTTTGTGTGCTTTTGTTTTAGAAGTTTGCTGAATTCGATGTTTCTTTGTGTTATAAACGTTAATGCTACAAAAATTACTAATTTCAAGGTTCTTGGGTTTAAAGTTTAAACTTGTGTTTTGACCAGAGCAATCGTATTTTGACTTTCAACAATTATTTTTGCGTTTTTATTAATTAGTAGATTTTGTTCCGTCAATATGCATTTACGACACATGACACAAGTTAAAGATTATAGTACACATCAAAATTTTGTACTGATTGAACCAATTTCAGTTGACTGGATCCAATTACAATTATTTAATTTTATCATACATATTCATTAGTCATTAACAGTTTTATTTTACATATTAATGGTAATCTCGTGCTGTTCAATGGTATTAAACAGTAAACTCTTATGGCCTTCTGCATTTATGTAACTCATCAGCTAGAGCCTAGAGGAGATCACATGTCACTAGTTATTGGCATTTACTTCGATATTATTTTGTGTTTCTTTCATAAGCTATTAAAATTAAGAATTTTTACTTTGGACCAAAACTTATAGTATAGCTGTTTGTAAAATAAATGCGGTTACTATGTATCACTATTAGGATTCAAATTCAAATATACTAGAATGCATGTTAAAAAAAAAAAAAAAACATCAACATAAATAATTAGTGAGTATTAATAAATCAATAAATACATAGGATCAAAAATAAAAAATTTATCAATGAATTTATATCAAAAGAAATGGAAGTAGTAAATTAAGAGAAGGGGATACGACTTGAATATAATATTTTTTCTTAGTATAAGTGGAATGACTTTGGGTTTCGGTTTTAATATTAAACCCATAACTTTAACTTTAATTCGATCTTTTGGTTATAATATGGAAAGCAGATTTCACTTGTGGAAACAAATGAACAAGCAATAGATTAATAGTGTCTCCAATATTCGAGTGAAATTCAAGGATGTTAGGAAATTAAACATTTATAGCGTTGGGCAACATCGTACAAACTCGAATTTCAACAGGAAAATAGTTTTCTATCTTTTTAATTTTTTTGTCTACATAAAATTTTTACATGGTACCAACTACCAAGCAAACTTTTTATGTTAGCATCAAATTTTACTATTTAAAAAGAAAAACTTACATTTGACTTGGAGATTTTTTCTTTTAAGCCATAAATTTTTTTTTTGAGTAGACCCAAAAGAAAAGGGACGAAGCAAACTAAATAAAAGGGACTTTACAGGCAATAGTGAGGATCCTCTCTATCCCTATCTCTCTCTAAGGTGCCTTTTAATATGTTTTTAAAACTATAGGTTGTATATTACGTCAAGCCTAAAAAGAATTATAATATTTTCCCAACAAATTTGTAATCATAGGGATACCATGCAAATGCCTGTAGGTCAATATGTTACAATATAAATATATTCCTTTTATTTAATTTGTCTAGTAAGTAAAGAATGAAGAAGAAAAGCGAAATTAGGCCCATTTTTTTGGGGTCCAACTTTACATTCATACATAAGTAACCCCACAAACAAAAAAGGAATAACTCAAAGTGTCTTTTTATAAAAAAATTTCAAATATAAAGATTTCAATGATTATAAGCTTCTTGAAGTTTATCACTACAAGAGATATGGTCCCATTATGATTTTTTTGATTTATTCAAAGCCATACATTAGATATATAGTATAAGATTTTGGATGAGAAATATAACTTGTTGAAATGTTTGAGCAGTGAATAAAAGTACATAAATCGATCCCTAAATCTATATTTTTGTTTATAAGATAACAATTTTTTTTTTTTTGGCATTTTGTTTTGCAGTCTACAGTGACAGTAACAACATATCTATATTTTTGGTTTTTACATTAAACTTTATATATCACACAGAGCATTCTATATACTTTTAGCAAAGGAAAACTCCTTTTCAAAAATGATATTGTACTATTTCGATTAGTTAAATAGATTAATATAAATCCGCGTGGAGAAAAAATCTCTGTTGAAAATCTTAAGAGTCCATGGGAAGCATGATGAGTGTCAGCTGCATGAAAGTGTGTAGCTTTCGTTTTCCATGCATCAAAGTTAAGCTTATAATATGTCATTGATTTTATTAATTTACATAAAAGTAACGATTAAAGAAGCTTGTAATTACTAAAAACATAAACTTAAATGGTTACTAAAGTGCGACCAATTCTCAACAACAACCTCAAAACATTTACGTAGAAGAAAAAATTCCTCACTTTTACCCACTTTTTACTGTTTTTAATTATTTACTTACGACTAATTATTATCTCTACCAACTAAAAATTTTATAACATTTTGTGTTACCATTCGGACCCGTTATTATAGTAAACCGTTTACCAAATACGAAAAACATTATTAACTAGGACATAATTGCTAGCTTCGTATGAGAGTTAGAGAGATACAAATTCGGAAAATTGTAAGTTCAATCACTCTATTCCAAGAATGATCAATTTAACTTTCTTTCTACCGATGTTCGTTTGCTTTGTAACTTACTTTTCTTCACTGAACTTAAGTGTTAGAACATTTCCCAATCCTTGTAATGTTTGCCACTGACGGGATAATATTGGTTCTTAGAATGTATTTTCCATTATCCTTTTTTTGTCTACTAGCCTAGTGGTTTTTAAACAGCCTATGATTCATTCCATTCTAGTGGGTTTAAAACAACGTATGATCCAATCCACTTGAGACTTCGAACTTAGTCATGCTAGTTAGCTGACATTGACATATGAGCTTATTCAAAAGAAAAAAGACATTGACAAATGAGCATGCCAATAACCTCAAGTCGATGGGAGCAGTAGATTACTAGAGCCTTTTATAACTTTAGATCTATTAACAAACAAAATTTGATACAAATGAAAGTGGTGTTTATAACATTTTAGTTAAATTAACGTAATATTTAAATATAAAGTTGATAAATGACATAAAACTTCAAAAGTTATTTCGATTATAAACTGTATTTATCTTGTAAGTAATTAAATCGAAAACTCTTAAAATTTGTTTTAGAAAATTATCTTATTAATTGGTCTATTTTTGTAAAAGGCCATTTGAATTTGACTATATACCAATCTAGTGATTAAAGTTGGGTCAAGTTGAAAAATATATATCGTATTATTGTTAATTACACTAGTTTATTATTATGAAGTTCAATTCAACTTCATATTATATATAGTATAAACAGTTCCCCTCGTAGTAAAGTCCAAAAATCGACATGATCTATAACAGGAACCAGAAGATGAAGTGAGCCTTTCCACAGTTCCGTTGACCTAATCGACGACTAAAATCTTGTCAGTCGATTCGTACGATTAATTTTTCTTTTAACATGATTCGAACATGTGAGACACAGACTCATAGAAACTGCAATTATTAATTAATATATTTTGGGGACATGTCACGAAAGCTAAAGACTCAAAAAAGAGTTATCTTGTGTCTCCAACTAAAATGGAAATAAAAGAAGAACATCAATTATGTCTGTAACGTGGAACCCACATAACTGGTTTTAACTGTTTATACACTTCTCAACTCTCTAAACAATAAACTCTAACTACTAAAATCCATCTCTCACTTATAGAAAAAAACTCTAATGTTTCTCTGCTTCTCAATCATTCATTCATTGGTATAATTCAGCTTTAGATCAAATATGAGCCACATTCTCGAGCAAATTATTATGTGGGATATTATGTGATATGTGCAATGAGACCACAAGTTAATTTGGACCTCTTTGTCAAAAATACTGGAAGCAAATAGACAGAGAGACAATGACAAAAAGAGAAAGGCTTTTCGTAATCAGAAGCAAGGTATGAGTTTTCGGACCACCAACTTGTCTGTTGATAAGCTTGTCTTCTTCCCTAATCCGGAAAGCTTTTCTCGACTCTAATGGATTGCTCCGTTTTCTACTGTAGCTTTTGTCTAGAGTCCTGACCCGACACACCTAACCAAAAGAAAGAACATTGAATATGGATTAATCATATAAGACTTTGTTATCCTCCAAGCTGGATTGGACATGCCTCATTAGATAGAATCACTTAATGTATAATGTTGACATCTCCCAAGTTAGTCAAATCCTATAGGAAAAGAGTTGGACAAGAACAAAGTTTATTGTTGTAGTGAACATATGTAGTAGGGACTACTTTGTTTAACTTAACTTAGAAACACGTAATTCAGCGTAAGAAAGTACATCTCTTTCTAATTCTATCATTTGGTCTTTATTAATGCATGTTGAAACATTCCTCAAGAAAGGATGTGATGGGACAAAAGCAGAAACCAAAGTCTACAAAACAAATGGTGCCATTTCCGAGAAAAATCCGGTAGCATCTTCCAAAAGAGTTTACTTTTGTATGTTTTGAGAAGGGCAAAGAGACATAAGTTCAAAGTAACACGATGTCTAATGTCACATCAGTTTGCCAAAAATATCTTCTTGCATTAATAAAAGAGAACAAACTACGTGAATATAGGAGTGATTGATATGTTTACCAAACAACTCTGTTACAATCACAAGTAAGCAAACAATTGCTGCTTGTGAGCTGTTTCGGTTTTCCTGGATTAAAGAAAAGATCAAATGTAACATAATGTTGATTTTCTCACCACCTTGCTACATTATCAACAAACCACTAATCATTATGCAAAACCGTAATACACATTTAAAGTTCAAATTCTGATCTGTTGAAACATATCAATATGAGCACTCAAAAGCAAAACATAACACTGTAATGAAACGCTGTAACAAATCTAAAACTATACAAACGATCAAGCTGCTTAATCCAAAACGCAAGATTCGTTACATAAAATGCAAAGAAATAAACATACATTTTCGGATTTCTGCTACTGCTAAGGTCCTTAAGTTAGCTCTGTCTTCGCCTTGTCTCGCATCTCGTGGACATATTATCGTAGCCGGAAACATCTCTGCTACACTGAAACTTTAGCCCAATGGGCTTTAATTAATACATAACTCGAATTGTGAATAACCCCCTCATTTCTAAATTCTAACATATAAAGCCCATATTTGCAAAGCCTAAATGATTTGTAACAAAACTTTATAAATTGGAAACACAGCAGTTCAGAAATTTTATTTGAGTCAAATTTAACGACAGTTTAGTAACCAAAACATCTATATGATCCATTTAAAGATAAAACTAGAAAATATTAGGGATGATCAAGGAAAACAATAACTAAAGAAATTAACCATATTGTTTAGTTTACGTTAAGCATTTTATGTTTTAGGGGTTAGGGTTTAATTAGGATTTAAAGTTTATGATTTGGTTTTAGGCTTAAATTTTTTTTGTTTAAGCTTTAGCAAATTTAAGATTATTTAAAGATCTAAAGTAGATATTGTTTTGCTCCCACATTAATATGCACAACACAAATTGCAAAAAAATAATCAACTATCTTATAAAGTATGGGTTTGAACTGAATTTTCAATTTTGGCTAAAGACTAGGTTTTAAAGGTTAAATTCGGATATACCATTTGCTTTATATATACATCCAAAGATTCCAAACACAGAATATTCCTGGTGTTTCCAATTGTTGCAGATCTCAATAAACAATCCACATTAGTTAATTAGTGAAAGCTGAGAACAAGATAGATGAATTATGGTAATTCTACAAATTGCTCTGTCTGTGTCTGGCTCTAACATTTATGCATCACGTTGTCCATTTATAAGGAATGGCTCCATTAATACTCCTTTTCTCAACATTTTATCAGATTTTTGACCGTTGTTATCTGTCTCGTCTCTCTCTGACACAGTTAGATTGTTTCATTTATCATATAAATAAATAAAAACAGACAAAAAATATTGAAGTAAGATTTGGAATATAAAGCCAAAAGCCTCGTGAAGGATGATGTCCCACGCCCAGCATCTTCATCTAGTGACAGTGAGCATGCAATACATTAACAATTAATACTTAACTAAATGCTTAAAATATTTGTATATATCAGTATTAATATATACTAGAATTCGTCTCCGATGCTACTAGGTTTTCCTCATGAATTTGATTATGTTACGTTAGTTTGTGGTATAATGTGATCCGTGATCCGTGATTAGTATCCATCCAAATCTATAACAAAGTTAAATAGTCTTATATTCACTTATTGCTTCTTTTCATATTTGTAACCGTGTCTTGTCTCTTAGACTTTTACCATAAAACTCCAAAAAAATATCGGGAACCCGACTAAATTATAAAGGCCATCTCAACAACTTATTACATATATGGACAAATAACTCTTATCATATGAGCGTTACACTCTTTAACTTTCCTTGTCTCTATTCAAATCCAATTCTCTCTCTATATACGAGTAAAGACATCCTCATATACACATAAAACATATTAACATTCTATCATCAACAATTTCTTTCAAGTTCTAACAAAAGTTTGGTGTTTTTTACTTTGGTTTCTTACTATCACTTCTTCACTCTCTCTTTCTCCATATAATGAAGGGACGTATGTTTTGCGCTTCGCAAGCATCAACAGCCATATGTTCAAGCATGGACAACGTTCACAAATCAACCACCACCGAAGACGATGAACGAAGTAGCGGCCGAGCTATAGACCGCCACAATCCGATCATTAAAGATGGCCGAAGATCATTCGCCGAGGACTTCATTAAACTACCAGCTTCTGGCGGAGACGGAGAGATGAGTAACAAAAAACTAGAGATCTATAAAGGCAGGATAAGCATTACTGGCCGGAGAAGCACGGGTGGTGGCGGGGGAGGCGGCAGAGCAGCGGCGTTGTTGAAGCTTATTACCAATGACATTGGCCTAGCGAGGAAGAGTTTCAGCTGTGTTGCGAGACCAGCATGTGACTTAATCAAAACCCCTGTGGGTTCTACAAGGTATCTTTTAAAATCCGACCCGGATTCTATTTCCGGGTCTACAGGTCGGAATCCGGCTAAGACGGTAGAAGCTGAAGCTCCTGCTGGTGAAGACATAACGTTGACGGAGAAGAAGACAACTTGTGCTGGTTCGGACCAGGTAATTTGTTTAGTTGTTAGCATCATTAGTGGCATAAATGTAAACAAATGGTGATAAGAGTTGCATTTTCTGAAGCAGCAGGTCGTTGTTCTTAAAGTTTCTCTCCACTGCAGAGGCTGTGAAGCCAAAGTTAGGAAACACTTGGCCAGAATGCAAGGTGATTCATTTATTTACGAGAATGCCATTTTGCTCCCTCTTTCGGTTAAGTATCGGTTTAGTTTCAAAATGTTCCGGTTTAGAAAATATATGAATGATATATATATATAAAATTCTTGGCTCGGGTTGGGATAAGAAAATTATCAAATAAGAGAACTGAATTCGATTCCAATTTACTCTAGGCTCTTAATGATTTCGTTATTTTGTCCATACCTGAGCCGGTCTTGTCTATTATTTAGTGAACCGGTTTTGGTCTAAAGCTGGTTTATAACTAATGAATTTGATACCTTGTAGGTGTAACATCTTTCAACATAGATTTTGCTGCAAAGAAAGTGACTGTGACCGGAGATATCACTCCCTTGGAAATATTGGATAGCATCTCAAAGGTTAAAAATGCCCAATTTTGGACAACTCCAACAATCCCAAAGCCGAACGTAGAAACCCAAAATCCCTAATTTACTTCTACTCCTTTTTTTTTTTTTTAAGATGCAACAATAATGTTAGGGATGTTGGTGTGCACAATAAGTACTAATAAAAGTTAAACGGAAGGCAAATTAACCTCAGCTTTTGTTTACAACACAACAGAAGATACAACTTTGTTTAATTAGTACTCCCTCTATTCCTTATTATTGTATTTTATAGGGGAAAAAATTGTTTCAAAAAATAATAGATATTTTAATTTTTTGGTAGGTTGAATAGCCATAGTTGTCTGCCAGGATTTGCTCGGGTCACTTTTTCCATTCCAGTAACTTATGAGCTCATATAAATCAAAGGCGAATCTTTCAACACAGGAGTAAAAGCAGTTGACCTCTTGGATACAACAATGATACCTCAGAATCCTACTAGTATTTGTATCAGCTAACACCATCAATGCAATCTCGTTTTGAATCAGCTCAAAACCAATCATATCATTGCAATCTACTACTTTTACAGAGACCATACGCTTTTCGAATAAACCATCAACCACCTGTCCAAATCTTCCCTTTCCATCTACATAAACAGTACTATTTGCAATTTGCAATCTGCTGATAAACCATCCTATTTACATGTTGGTGTGCACAATAAGTACTAATAAAAGTTAAACGGAAGGCAAATTAACCTCGGCTTTTGTTTACAACAGAAAATACAACTTTGTTTAATTAGTACTCCCTCTATTCCTTATTATTGCATTTTATAAAAAAAAAATAGATATTTAAAAATTTTGTATGGAACATTTATTTGTTATTATTTATGAATTGTAATATTGGTTTAAAGTTACAGAAAATTGTAAATTACAAAAAATAATACATTTAAAATAAACTTTTAATATGTTTTTTTTAATATGTGTAAAAATCCTAAAAAAATACATTAATAAAGAACATAGGGGTATTCATTAATGAGATTTATTAAGTAAAAATGCTAAATAAAATAGCAAAATCATTAAAATAAAGAAGAATTTTCTACTCACACTCACCGTGGTTTGACGACAGCTTTCATAAGATTTTTCTAGAGAGAGTTTATTTCTCGAGATAAACTGACTTTTTTTATGAAATCTTGTGAAACATACTTCCCACATACAAAGAAAAGACAAAGTAAATTGATTTCACCATCAACTATTTTAGAATTTATCTTTCCTATGCTAGCATCTATTGCACACGTAATGACCACATCCTACATTTTGACACACATGCTTAGCCAGTCTTCCAACAACAAACAAAACTAGGCTAAAAATATGATCAACCACTAGTTTAAGGCCAATCTCAAAATATCGCTAGGTGCTAGTCGGACATTCGAGATTATACGGAATTTAATTCAGAGACTAGTTATTTGATCATTTTTAGTTTTTTTAATGAAAATTTAATATTATGCACGTATAATACAAATATACAATTGATAATATGGTAGATTTGGTCTCGATTACATCAGCACTTTGGTCTCGTTTTGTATTTTGGTCTCAATTAGGTTCAAAATCAAGGATTAGGCGTAGAACAATTAAAAATACATAGATTGTTACTATGTATTTGGGCCAATTTTTTTATTAATTTTTTTTTAATGAAAAAATCCAAGAAAATCAGATAGGCGGAGATTAATCGGTTTAAGTGGGAATTAATGAGAGAACCTATTTCTGGTACTAATTATATAGTATTCCCATCGATATACTACTGCCTAGCAACTAGGCGGCCGATTAATCGAATAGGCGGCCGATTCTTAAATACCAAAACTATATAAAAGATATCACATGATTGTCAAACTGAGAATTGTTTACAATGTACCTTGAAACTCTTCCATACTCAGGAGATAAAAAGAAGTTGAATCGATTTTTGTTCATTCCTAGCCAAATACATAATTCCTAATCAGTGTTAAATAACCAAATATAAACATCATTTGATACATTTTACTATCTTATTTAAGAAAATGCTCGCTGGCGAGAAAAAAAAAAAAACAAAAATGCTCGCTGAGGGTCTAACTTATGTTTTATGTTTTTATGAGGTGTATCGTGGATTGTATTTATCCTCCAAAGCTTCAACAATGAAAAATGGTAATTAATTTCGAAGCAAAAAAATTCTTCGGAAGTGGAGTTCAATACATTCAATAATCCACCATTATTATAAACAAACCTGCAAGCTCTCTCCAACATCTTCTTATCTACTATAGAATTTAAGAGTAATACAGCAAATTCGAGATATTAAAGAATAAAATAGCCAACTCAAGAATAGCTAAGATTTTATCGAGTCAGAAAAATATTATTTTTGCTTGAATAGTTGGGCCTCAAAACCTTAAAATCTCAAAACAGAATGAAAGCGTCATCTCGGATCATGATGGGCTTTTTATATCTGAACTAGGCCCAAAACAGTAAATTGTAACTATATATGACGATTACCGTGATAAAATACCAGGAGTTCGATGCAACAAGTCGCTAATTCGATGTACATAGTTCCCGAATTACTGGAAGAAATTTTCCTTGGATTGCCCTTGAAATCAATCCTCAAATTCAAAACCGTCTCAAAACAATGGAGATCAGTCCTGGAATCGAAAATGTTCGTGGAAAAGCGTATGAATGCTTCAAAGAGTGGAAAAATAATAGCTGCTTACAACTGCGACTGTGGCGACCGGCCGAGAATCATCCACGAGGCCCGGTTAGGGGACCAAGTGTTTGTCTATCTACACTGCTTCAACGCACGACCCTCGATGATTTGCGACTCACGACCCTTGTTGACTTGCGACGGTTTGGTCTGCATAGCTGAACCAGATTCCATCATCGTTTTGAACCCCTCGACCGGACAACTCTTGCGGTTCCCAGAACCATTGTCCTCCCGATTTATAAACGGTAATTTTTTTTTTTTTTTTTCTCTTATAATAGTTTTTGGATTTTGCAGTAATGGGTACTCTCTGTAACTAATTTCAGGAGAAGGGTCGGATTTCTATAGGGGAAATTGGGTAATGGGATTTGGTAGAGACAAAGTTACGGGGAGCTATAAAGTAACGAAGATGTGCCTTCTACCTAGAGAGGAAGGATGCGATGTTCTTGATGTTGAAACTGGTCAATGGAAGAACCTGAGTCTACCTACTTATATGGCCCAGGTGGGAAGAAAATCCGTGTCTGTTAATGGATCCATCCATTGGTTATCCACTGGGTCGTATCTCGTTAGAAGTGTTCACGGAATTCTAGCACTGGATCTTCACAAAGAAGAGTTCCATTATGTCTCTGTTCCGGATAAGTGGGTCAAGCAAAGTACCCTGATAGCCAACCTTGATGACCGTCTAACCATAGCCAATACGCCTACGTCTGTTTATTCTGACTGGGGACTAGAGATATGTAGCATGAATGCACATGAAGAAATATGGAGCAAGATTTACTCCATAAGTCTAGATGGTCTTCTAGCTTTTAAGCTACCACGTTCAAGGTGGTGCATGTGGTTCACGCCGCTGGCTGTTTCCAAAGAGGGGGATCTTATCTTTTATAACAATTACCAATGGTTGTTCAAATATTGCCCAGAGACACGTGAGCTTCATTGTCTCTCCTCTGATATATGTGTTATATCTCCTTACCTCGAGAATTTGGTCCCACTTCGGTCAGAGTCTGGAAATCATCCGGATCCGAATGATAATAAAGTCAGGACATCTAGCTGCGGATTTTTTACCAAGCATCCGGAGCCAGGCTCCGGGATATCCAAGTTTTTCAAAAGGATCGGACTTGGGATCCCAGAGATTGTGTTTACCACTCTAGTTATAGTTCACATTTGGATAACTCTCTAACACTTGCTTATTATGTAGTCTCTACTATTTTTTTTGGTTCAGCTTTGTTCTCTTTTTAAAATTGAAAATCTGTTGAGTCAAATCAAATGGTGACAAAGGCTTATTGTGTTCCCGTTTGAAAAGTTGAATTTTAACGATGCAAAAGGTCAAAATCTTTCTAGTACTTATGGTATATACTAACTTTTTGACATATATAATAAACATCTTTGTTAAGTCCATTGATGGTATACTTTTTTCTAGTTCTATCATCTGCGACCACTGCTATTGCTGGCAATCGCAGCATGCTTTAGCACTTTCCACTTCATGTATGTTCAGGAAGATATGATCTCAGAACTACTCTGTTGAATATGGACATACTTTGGTTCTTCAGAGGGAGCTCTTAACTCTTTCTGCAAGACAACAAGAGCAGGCGTTGTAAAATCATATGCTGCTTTCTTGTTAGTTTTAGTTATGTTCCTTAAAAATTCAACTCTGTTTTCAACGAATCCAAGGCTTGGTCAGAAGCACTCCAACACGACTTCAACCATTTTCAGCTTGCTGCTTTTGAAATGATGTTTTAAGGTGAGTTGGGACAATGACTCGTTATTCGTGATGTATACATACACATCTCAAAAAACAGTGCAAGCAATTCAAGATTCCCATATTGAGTCTTCGATTGATGCTGCAACACTCGATCATGACACAAATTCATGCTCAAACTACCGACTACAACCATCTAAAACCATTAGCAACAGAAAAGACCAACAAAATCACATTCAAGCCAACTACCATTTTTTAAGACAATCATCCAGCCATCTCTCGCTGTGCCTTCTCGGCAAAGATCTTCGTAGCAACCATATTATCCATAAAATACTCTCTATAAGGATGATTCTTCGGAACAAGTCTCCTAAACTTCTCAAACTGTTTCTCCGCCTCATCTTGCTTCTTCAACACTGTGTATATAATCCCTTGACATAAATACGGCCTGAAATCTCTCGGTTCTTCCTTCACAAGCTCCTCATACAACTTCAATGCTTCGTTATGCTTCCCTTCAATAACCCGAATTTGGGCCACTAGTAGCTTAAAATCCCTCAAATCCTTACGATTCTTCTCCTTCTTGCACCTAACCATTGCCTCCTCAATTCTCTTCTCCACCGCATTCAAATCAGCACCGGAATCAGAATAAGCCATAACTAAGCCGTGATAAGCCTCGACACGAAGCGGATCCTTGACTAGAATCTCTTCAAAACCAGTTTTAGCAGACTCTAAATCTCCACTGTAACTAAAGATATTAGCTTTCAAAATTGGCCATTCCTTATCCTCTGGTTCCAATTCAATCAACCTATCAATCAATTCTATCGCTTCTATAAGCTTTCTAGATTTGATCCTTACCTCCATCAAAGACCGTAGAGCTTCCACATCTTCAGGGTGAGAAGCAAGATGCTCTTCGAGCGATCTCTCTTCTTCTTCCAATGAAACATCTCCGTTGTTACTCTGTTTAAGCGATTCCACTGACGGCGTCGCCGCCACAGGAGCCGCAATCGCCGGAGAAGGTTTGAGCTGGAGATTCACAAGGAACAACGCTGCTGCTGCAGTGAAGGTGACGCAGGTGGATTTGAGGAATGAGAGCCTCGAGTCTTGGGATTTGGATGATGAAGCTTTGATTGAAACGCATTTCAAGGATGATGTTGATCTGGGTAAGGATCTGAGAGAGAAAGACGAAGGCTTTTTGGGGAAAGATGAAGTGAAGTGAGTGAAAGAGAGGTGATTTGGTTGCTGATGAAGCTGTAGCTTCCCTAGAGACTCCATGATTGCAGATAGAGAGAGAGAAAACCCCTAAAAACCCTACAGTGAGATTTGAGGAAGAAGAAGATCAAAAGGAGCTTCGAGTTCGAAAGTCGAAACTGCTGGAAGTTACGACGTCGTTTTTGGTCCCTGAATTTGGGCCTTTATAGGCCCAGGATTAGAAGAGGAAATGTATTTATCACAAATCAAAACGCTAATCTCTTTCCTTAATCCATATATTGTTATCACGAATATGCAAAGTTTATGCATCCTAGTATCCTACTAACATATATGATTGTTGTTAGAATTGTTCATCTTCTTATGATCTTATCAGTCTCAAGAATTTGCAAACCACTCTGCTTTTGAGCTTTTGTCCACTAGATTGATCTTTTTCTGAGGTTTTCAAGAACTTGCATTAACTATATTATAATTGCAGTGTTTTAGTTGTGTGGTGAAGAACACTCTTAAATGTGCTACGATCTCGGACCAAGGGATTCATTTCCACTGATCAAACATTCTCAGTGGCGCTTATTGTGAAAATCTATAACTACATTATTTAAGAACCAACAATATCTGTGGAATGGTTTCACAAAGATAAGATTCCTAGATTTTTGAGTACATAAGCTCATTGAAACATAACCATAAGTGAAAGGAGAGAGGACATAGCATGCTGATTCTTCCATGAACAAGAAGAATTCAGCGGAGAACGAGGATACACCAAAAACGACGGAATGGAACTGTTGATTGTTGAGGCAGTACGCAAACCAACCATTGAATGACAGAGAGAGTCCCATATGCTTACTTGTACTCAAATGATGGCACCGGAGGAGCATCAAAACTCTCCAACACCTCTGTTTTACTTCCACTGCCTGGTTGCACCTCCTCCTTTTTCTTACCAAAAAGCCCTCCAAACCATGATGATGATGATGAAGCTGTACTCTGGTTTTGACTCTCTGACATCATCTGTGCTTGATTCTGCATCTGCCCCATCTGCATTCCTTGCATTCCTTGTATTCCTTGCATTCCTTGCATCCCAGGCATTCCGGGCATTCGAGGCATCCCAGGCATTCCTTGCATTCCGGGATCCTCCATCATCATATTCTGAGGCTGAGCCAGTAGCTTGTTCAACATTATCCCAGCTCCTTCAATCAAAGCAAGTAAAACCCCTCCAAAAGCCGCTGATCTTGAAGCCGCGCCAACCCCCTGTCGCATCGCAAGAAACCCTCCAGTTGCAGCACCAGCGATGATAGAGTTCCACGGATCCTCCTTCTGCCTTAAGTACACCATGGAACAGTCAAATGTCGAGAATAAACCTCCCCATACAGCAAAACTGCCTCCAAGACGAGGTGCGTTCATGCTCACAGCTTGCGTTCCTCCAACAAAGCGACTACCTTTCGGTGAATTGTAAGTCCCTTTAATGAAATGAAAGGCAGATCCTCCAACAGCTCCCATACCAAAAGCACCACCGATATCATCGAGGATACGGTCAGGGCAAGGCTCTCGAGATGTCTCTGGTGTTCCCATTAATTTAGCCCTGATTTATCCCAATAGATACCTCAGGCAATGATTCTATCAAACCTGTAATCAAACAAAGATTGATTCATCAAAAAATAGTAAGAAAATTAGAGGAAATATTAATCATATCATTATTTTGAGTAAATGAAACCATCAATCATCGTCGATTCTGAGGAATTCTGAAATTAGGGTTTTCTAAGTCACTGCGAATCAACAAATAGATCTCTCTCTGTCTAATTCCAATTAAATACTGACTATCTACAATCGAACGAAGAAGATTAGGGTTTATCAAAGCGCTGTACTTTACGATCGAAGCAAAGCATAGAAAAAGGTAGAAGCTTTGTGTATAGAAATGAAGCCACGAGAAATGAGAAAGCACTGTTGTTGATGTTAGATGAGAATCGAAGAAGCATACCTGAGACTAACGAGGAATTAATCGGCGGACAAGAGACAAGAGACGAGAGACGAGAGACGAGTTTGAGAGAGAGAGAGAGAGAAAAAAAAAATGAAGGAGGTGCGACGGTGAGCGAGAGAAGGAAGAAAATGAAGAAACGGCGTCAGGTTTTATTAGGGTTGGGTAGAAAACAAAAAAAAATACAGCGACCAAACTATTTTGCGTTTTAGTTTTTCAGCTTGATTTTTCCGACACTGTTGCGTTTTGCTCTATTTTTTTTAATAATTTCCCTTTTTATTTTATTTTCCGGCATCGCTCATTTTTCTTTCTTTTCGAATATGGTTGCTTTATTTTTATTTTTATTGTTTTTGACATTTTCGTTGCAGTAAAATTAAAAAAAAGAAGCCAGAAGTTTTACAATAGCCCAAACTAGTTAAAAGCCCTGAGAGAGAAAGTAATTGAACCCATTATGAAAAGCCCAAATAATTAGTAAAAGATAGTAGAGAAGCCCATAGACGAAGGATGTGGCGACCAACCAAAACCTGCTGTTTTTAGCCAAGGAAGGTAGAGAAATCGCTATCTGGTCTCTGGCCGAAAAGAATGATCTCAAAAAGAAGAATCAAAAAGCTCTTGTTGCTCTTCTTAAAAAGCCTATTGAGAAATGGCATGATCATTCTCTCAAACTATTATCATCACGTAGAGATACTCTCACTCTCAGTCGAACTATATATGAAGAGCTTCAGGCTAGAGGTAAATGCCTCTTACTCTTGTAAGCTAAACTAGTTTCACCCTTGTAATTTCATCTCTTATCTAACGTGTGTGATGTTCTTTAGAAAAAAAATGTCATCACTGAAGGAGGAGCCAATGGTTCTCTTTACAAAGAAGCTGGCAAGTTGTGCAAAGTGATGATATGGGGGAGACTCTCCCGTGGAAGTAGCAGCCTCAAAGACACATGTGTTACTGCTTTGGTTCTAGTTATTGCTTTGGTAATGTGTTGTCTTCTGCATTGTGTTTATGGAAACTACGAGACATCACATGAAACATTTGTTGCCCTTATATTTTTCTTTTTATCTGTTACTTTGTTAGTTACGTTTTAGGTTTTGTTCAAACAGATGCTTTGGTATGGACACTATTTTGTCTTCAAATCATAGATGGTGTTCAGAAGAATTTGTACCTGGTAAATTCTATTGGAATTATATTATATTAAAATCTAGAAAATGTAAATATTGTATATAGATGATAAATACATTAAAATACTTGAAAATCAACAACTTAAGTATGTAATTGAATACTCTCAGATTCAATTACAAATTCTTTGGTCTAATTTTGTCAAATAAATGATAATGATGAGGTAATGATCATTTTTTTATTTATCATCAGTTCTGATTCAAAAAAAAAAAAGTGTAGTAAATCCATCTTTTAAATATATAATAACTTATTGCCAACAATGTTTGGAAGAATAAAATCAGTAATTAGTTATGACAAAAAAAAAAGAAAAAAAATCAGTAATTAGTAGATATACAATCAATGGAATTCCATTTTTCTTTTTTCCTTTTTTCATGTTTACAATCATAAACTTGTTGGATTATTGGAACAATTTTTTGACTGGAATATATTTTTTTTTGGTAGGATTTTGACTGGAATATTTAATATCTTAATACCTCTAATCTACCAATATATGAAAAAACTGAAACAAAAAAAACTTGAAATTTGCGACTTTTGTAACTTTTTTGAAATTAAAGGTAGTGTGAGCTCTCCAGTACAATTCAAATTTGGATCTGCTTCGACTCTCAACGGTTACTTACCCTAATTTTCATTTTTTTTTTCTCAAAAGTTCTCTTTCGATCTCGAAGATCCATCATCTTTTTGTGTTCCATTCGAATTCTTCTTTACACGGACAAGATTCGGATCTCTTTCGTGTAAGTGAATCAATTTTTGTTCTAATTTGCGAAGAAAGTTGAATTTTATTTAAAATTCGAATCTCTGGGCTTTCTCAATTGATTAGGGAATCTGGAATCTGTTTTTTTGATTCCACAGAAATCGAAGATGTCGTTTACGCCGGAGGTTGTTTCAAGGAAAAGCGGAGTCGGAGTGGTTCCATCACCGGCACCGTTTCTGACACCTCGTCTTGAGAGAAGACGACCTGATTCTTTCTCTAACCGTCTCGATAGAGATAATAAAGAAGTCAATGTTCAAGTGATTCTACGATGCAGACCATTAACTGAAGAAGAGCAGAAATCTAATGTTCCTAGAGTCATCTCTTGTAATGAAATGAGAAGAGAAGTCAATGTTCTTCATAGTGTTGCTAATAAGCAAGTAGACCGTGTTTTCAATTTCGACAAGGTTCGGTCTCTTTCTACTTGATGGTTTTTTGTATTCAAGATTGGTCTCTGATGGTTTTTTTTTTGTATAGGTTTTTGGTCCTAAGTCACAACAACGGTCTATATATGATCAAGCTATTTCACCTATTGTTCATGAAGTCTTGGAAGGTTTTAGCTGTACTGTGTTTGCTTATGGACAAACAGGAACTGGGAAGACTTATACTATGGAAGGTGGAATGAGGAAAAAGGTATAAAGAGGTTCTTCTTGTGAGTGTCTCATTTTGATTTTTCATGTTTTTGATTTATGTTTCTCTTGTAGGGAGGGGATTTACCTGCGGAGGCAGGGGTGATTCCAAGAGCTGTTAGGCATATTTTCGATACTCTTGAGGCCCAAAATGCTGATTACAGTATGAAAGTAACATTCTTGGAACTTTATAATGAAGAAGTTACGGATTTGTTAGCTCAAGATGATTACTCAAGATCTTCTGAGGATAAGCAGAAGAAGCCCATTTCTTTGATGGAGGATGGGAAGGGTTCTGTGGTTTTAAGGGGTCTTGAAGAAGAGGTTGTGTATAGCGCTAATGATATATATGCTCTTCTTGAACGAGGCTCATCTAAAAGGCGCACCGCAGATACGTTGTTGAATAAGAGAAGTAGTAGATCTCATTCAGTGTTTACTATCACAGTTCACATAAAGGAAGAGTCTATGGGAGATGAAGAGCTAATCAAATGCGGCAAGCTTAACCTTGTGGATCTAGCAGGATCTGAGAATATCTTACGGTCAGGAGCTCGAGAGGGCCGTGCAAGAGAAGCTGGAGAGATTAACAAGAGCTTGCTCACACTAGGCCGTGTAATTAATGCCCTTGTGGAACATTCTTCTCATGTACCTTACAGGTACTTCCCCTGTCCTACAACTATATATGAGTCTACTGTGGTAATATTTGTGTGTCTTGGAGCGTAATTGTGGATATTTGTCTTTGCAGGGATAGTAAGCTGACAAGGCTTTTACGGGACTCTCTAGGAGGAAAGACAAAAACTTGTATCATTGCTACAATCTCTCCATCTGCTCATTCCCTAGAGGAAACTTTAAGTACCTTGGATTATGCCTATCGTGCCAAGAACATCAAGAACAAACCTGAGGTTTTGTTTATGCTACCATATCTCATCTTTATTTTATCAGTGTATCCTTCTAACCAAACGTGTCTCTGCAGGCAAACCAGAAACTATCCAAGGCTGTGCTGCTTAAAGACCTTTACTTGGAACTTGAGAGAATGAAAGAAGGTTTACACATAGAAGATAACATTATGTCTATATTCTCCTGTTTTTCTTATGCAAATTATCAAATGAGCTACTTGATTATTAATTGTTGTATGATCAATGCAGATGTAAGAGCGGCAAGGGATAAAAATGGTGTTTACATTGCACATGAAAGATATACACAAGAAGAAGCTGAAAACAAGGTAAGTTCGAAGGACGGAACTTAAAGTCTATATTCATTTCATGCTTTGCTTAATGATTCTTTTGTTTCAGGCGAGAATCGAGAAGATAGAACAGTTGGAAAATGAATTAAATCTCAGTGAAAGTGTACGTTTGCCTCACCTTTTCTTTTATAGCTTTTGGAAACTAAACTAATTGTCTCCAGTTGGAATTTAAGTGGCTTCTCTAATGCAGGAAGTTTCAAAGTTCTGTGACCTTTACGAGACTGAGAAAGAGAAGTTACTGGACGTAGAAAGTGACCTTAAGGACTGCAAGGTGATAAGAACTTCTGTGATTTACTTTCTAGATTACTCATGCTTTCAGTGATAGTTCTTGATTTTTCAAACATTCATGATGCAGAGAAACCTGGATAATAGTAACAAGGAGTTGCTTGATCTCAAAGAGAATTATATCCAAGTTACCTCAAAGTTAAAAGAAAGAGAATTCATCATCTCAAGAATGAAAGCCTCAGGTAAAAATTCTATCTCACAAATTGTACAAGGGCTCCCCCTTTCTTGGGTTTGTTGCTTGATTCGTTTTACTGATTTCTTCTTGGGCAGAGACTACTTTGATCGACCGCGCAAAGGGGTTAAGTTCTGATTTGCAGCATGCGTCAAACGATATAAATTCGTTGTTCACAAGATTAGGTACTTCTTCTTTCCTATGTCTAGGGCTGAAAACAAGATCTGTCAAGTGCTTATTTTACTTATTTCTGCAGACCAAAAGGACAAGCTGGAATCCGAAAACCAGAGCATGCTTCTGAAATTTGGTTCACAACTTGATCAAAACCTTAAAGATTTGCACAGAACAGTTCTTGGATCAGTCTCTCAGCAACAGCAACAATTAAGAACTATGGAAGAACATACACACTCATTTCTTGCTCATAAATATGATGTAAGAAAAGACTATAGCTATGTCATTTCACTTTTTGCTTTGGACCATTTGTTCACTCTAGTATTTGGTTTACACAAGCAGGCAACACGTGATCTGGAATCAAAGATTGGGAAAACAGCAGACACTTATACTTCAGGAATAGCAGCCTTGAAGGAGTTATCTGAAATGCTACAAAAGAACGCCTCCTCTGATCTGGAGAAGATGAACACTTCTATAGTATCACAAATAAAGGCTGTTGAGAAAGTAGGAACAAAATTGAGCTATGAACTACTACTTCACCTCTTGCTGTGTTTCTATATCTCAGCATTTGTTTTGGTTATAATTGAAGTGCCTTTCTCTTCTCAGTTTCTCACTACATCAGCAACAGAGGCTTTTGCAGTCGCTCAGGACATCCACAATTCACTTAACGAACAGAAGAAGCTCTTAGCAGTTGCTGCAAGACAACAAGAGCAGGTGCTGTAAAAATCATTTGCTGGTTTCTTGTTAGCTTAATTAGTTTTCTGAAAAGTCAACTGTGTTTTCAACTTATCCAGGGCTTGGTCAGAAGCATGCGATCTGCACAAGAAATATCGAACGCGACTTCAACCATGTTTAGTAACATCTACAACCAAGCTCACGGTGTGGTGGAAGCCATTAGAGGTAGCCAAGCAGAGAAAGCAAGACAGCTTGATGCTTTTGAAATGAAGTTTAAGGTGAGCTGGAACAAACTCTTAAAGACTTCAGTTATATATTCTGAGAGGTTCACACAAACTTTCTTCACTGAAAACAGGAAGAGGCTGAAAGAGAGGAGAAGCAAGCCTTAAATGATATCAGTCTGATATTATCAAAGTTAACTTCAAAGAAAACTGCAATGGTGAGTCTTTAACCATTAATAACCCCATTAGGCTTTAATTATTCATCAGTTGAATCGAACGTAAAGTCTGATGCTCTACATGTTTCTAGATCTCTGATGCATCAAGCAATATCCGTGAAAACGATAGACAGGAAGAGAAGAGATTGTATGAACAAATGTCTGGTATGCAGCAAGTCTCGATTGGCGCAAAGGAGGAATTGTGTGACTATCTAAAGAAAGCGAAAACGCACTTCACGGAAAACACTATAGCTTCAGCTGAGTCTGTCACAGTCATGGATAGTTACCTTGAAGATTGGTACAAATTCCATCTCCCCACTGCTTTCGATCCAAGCCTCTCAATTAATTTACATTCCGTCTTCTCATATAAACATTGTATTTCTTGCAGCTTGGGAAGGGCCAATGATTCTAAAAAGTTGTGGGAGACCACTGAAACAGGCATAAAGAACCTTAACATGAAGTATCAACAAGAACTTAATGTCACAATGGAGTAAGTTTTTTCGTTCTGTATCCATGCTTCTCTCTGTTTCCACATCATTTCACTGAATAAACTCTCTACGTATAGGGACATGGCAAAAGAAAATGAGAAGGTGCAAGATGAATTTGCATCCACATTTTCCTCAATGGATGCTAACTTTGTCACTAGGACTAATGAACTTCACGCAGCTGTTAATGGTAACCACAGTAAATCTCTGTTCCATTTCCTACTCAAGAACTACTCAAAAACGTCCTAATCCTTGGTTTTTACAGACTCATTGATGCAAGACCGTGAGAACAAAGAAACAACAGAGGCTATAGTCGAGACTTGCATGAACCAGGTCACATTACTGCAAGAGAATCATGGACAAGCGGTATCAAACATTAGAAACAAAGCAGAACAGTCTCTCATAAAAGACTATCAGGTACTGAAGCAATCATAAAGATGGAAAATCTATAGTGTGATCTATATGTGTATATATTAACAGCAAAGCTTTTGATACAATGACCAGGTTGATCAGCACAAGAACGAAACACCAAAGAAACAATCCATAAATGTGCCAAGTCTGGCTTCGATTGAGGAAATGAGGACTTTGTTTTCGCAGAATACACTCAGCGAAGATCACACAAGTAATTTGGAGAAAAGATCAATAAAAGAAGGACTTGACGAAGCAAACAACAGAACTCCATTCTTGGAAGTAAACAAATGAGTAAAAAAAAGCTTATGTTCATCAACTGGATGAGTTTAGAAGATGAAGACTGTGTAAAGGTTGTTATGTAATGTAGTACGCAAGCTTATGTTGTCATGGATAATCTGGTTATGTTTTGACATTAAACCGGTATGCAGATTGCTGAGTTCTCAGATTGCTGGTTATGTTTAGGGATGACGTTTCCGGTTAAATTGGCTAATGTTCTCATTTTAAGTCAACCTAATGGAGAGAAAGGACGATTCTCGGGCGCCGTCAACCGACTTCCCGACGAAACTCTAACTTTCCGGCGTTTCCTCCCTTCCTCGGCACTCGAGAGATCCTTAAAACGCTTTAGCTCCGTTGATTCTCTCAATCCTCGATTCTCTGTTCTTAGATTCTGGCCTCGATTCATCTCCTTCTCCGGAGAGATCGCCTGAGCCGGAATTGCTCACGGGATTCGTCACAGCACCCTAATTTTACTTTATTTTCCTCGATTGATTCTCTTTATTCGATTTATCTCAATCCAAGAGGTCCGGATTACTTTGATCGGATTTCTTACTCTCCCTGAAAAACACAGATGCCGAAATATTTGGATGGAATCCGTGAGCGTGCTGATGGAGAGCAGGCTCGTGAAGCGAAGAAGAAGAAGAGTATGCCTGGATTCGACGATGATCAGAGGGGTTCTTCTAGGGTTCCCGGTGTCTCAAGGTCGTTCGATCAAAGACGCCAAGTTAGTTGTTGTCGTCTCGGAGGCTGTGGCGGTAGCAGTTGTTGTGGTGGTGGCGGTGGCTTCCCTAAAACTCCTTCCCAAGTTGACAGAATTGCAGCGGGTAAAAGCCAGCTGTCTCTCAGGAAATCATCTACAATTGGGTCCGGTTACCGTTTCCCCGGGCTCGAGCCACGAACGGTTGTTGATACAGAACTGGGTGAAACTCACACTACTGTTGGAAAGAGAATGTTGAAAGAAGGCGAGGAAGCACCCATTGCCGAAGCTGCTGCAAAGATTAATCCTTCACATGTTGCGGTTTCCCTCGCCCAAACTGCGGTAAGTGCTTTGCAGTCTTAAATTCATTCTGATCTAAATCGATAATTAAATATCACACAGATTAAAAAATTCAATTTTTTTTGTTTGCTGTTTGATCGTAAATAGGAAACGTTTCCACATGAGCCCGAAGCAGCTGCAAAGGTTGATCCTTCACATGTTGCGGCTTCCCTCGCCCAAACAGCGGTAAGTGCATCCTAGTGTTAAATTCATTCTGATCTAAATCGATAATTAATAACCCACAGATGAAGAATATTTTTTTTTTTTGAATTTTTGTTTGCTGTTCGTTCGTAAATAGGAAGCGTTTCCAGATGATCCGATTTTTCGGCTAGAGGGACTTTTGGATTGCTTTGGGAGTCTATTTTCAGGAGTATCATTTCAATGGGATGAAATATTCAAGGAGCCTGTTTGGTCTAAGTTGTTCCATGATGTGATCGATCATCGATGTGAGCAATTTCCTCTTAATACCTTTTCTTAATTTTTTGTTTGGTTAGAGCATCCCCAACAGTGAGAAACCATAGAAGTTTCTCAAATATATTAATTTAATGTTTTTGTAGTAAATAAATTTTTTGTTTAAATTTTAATTAATTAAAAAAAACTTTAACCAATCAAATGATGCCAAGTATTAGACACAGTGTCTCACAGTTTCTCAAATGAGACACAGTGTCTCATTCTCTCTCTTACTTTTAATTATTTTTTCTTTTTTAATTCTTGAGACATTCTCTGAGAAACCCCTGTTGGAAATGCTCTAATAGATTCTTGAAGCTGATGATTTTATCTTTTTACTTTTTTTTTTTATAAACAGCTATCTCATATTCCTGAACCTGTCTACAGCGTATCAGTCGGATGGATCAACCAATACCTTCCAATGGAAAATCTCCATGGCTTTGTTTTTACATTCTTTAGTTATATTATCAAATCTATGTGGAAGGAGTATTATGTGGGTCAAAATGTTTCTCACAAATCTAATGTAATTTTTGGCAAACCTTTCTGGAATTTAAATCACCTATGTCTGTGTGATTGAATGGTGGTGTATCCAGTTACCTTTGTTTGACCTAACTCCATTATGTTTTTTACGATTAGGTGTCAATACTTGTTGCACTTGCAGTGGTGCTGCGTAGCAGACCTGATGTTATGTCTTGTTGTTTGAGGGAGCTGAGGATGCAGTGTAATTGGCATGAAGCAAAGGGCTCCCTGTGTACTCCGCTTTCAGTTTGGGTGATAGCTCAGGTTCTTATGATCCCTTATGTGAACTAGGCATCAAGAGTGTTGATATTTGTTTGTTTTGTCGGATCTGTATTCTCAAAGTTATGGAACTGTCAAACGTGGACAGGCCTCCCAAGCTGATTTACTTGTAGGCTTGAAATCATGGGCGGTTATCTTGTTACCACGATTCGTCCGTAGCAATGATCAGTCAAAGGATCTCATCCTGGAGTTTGTTGAGAAGTGAGTCCAAAGTCTTCTTCTCATCTCCATTGCTATATATTCAATTATCTGATCTTTTTCATGCAATTTTCTTATCAGCATCTCGAAGAAACCAGATGCTAGGACCAAACTTGTAAATGCTTATGATTTGTTTCCACCTCCTTCATTTGAGACCTTGCTGCGGCTTACATTCTTCCCTGCTTCATCCGCAAGAGAAGAGGTTGGTAGTAGTAAAGTAAAACCTTGATGCGTTTGGTTATTCTGATCACAAGCCAGGTCTAACTGTATGCACACAGGCTACAACGAGGAGGTTTGCGGGAATTTATCTCTTTTTGAAGGACGTGGCTCTTGCCGGTGTACCAGAACGCCCGTCAGCCAATCGAGCGATATTCACTTTTTGTTTGAGACTAGCTAAAGAAGGTATTAGTAACAAACCAAACCTTAAATGGGTCCTTGAGTTCTCTGCTTTCCTCTCTCTTTCTCCAAATAGAGTTTGTAATCTTTTACAGTTGTTGCAGGTAATCCTGATTTATCCAAGGAAGCTACAGAAATCGCTGTCTGGTGTCTGACCAAAAACGTTGATTTATGGGATCTGTGGAAGTATCTCTGTAAAGAGAATTTAGAAACTAGTGTTGTTCTTCTTAAAAGGCTTGTAGAGAAATGGGAGGATCATTCTCTCGAACTATCATTATTATCATCCAGTGATATTCTTGTCCTCACCAAACAGTGGCTAAAGAGAAACAAAATGAAGAAAGTTTCTTTCACGCAAACTGGTGGGCCTCCTACAGGCGTTAAAGAGGCCATACAAGAAGTCAAGATACAACAAGAGGCAATGGAACAAAAAGTCAGGATGGCAATAGATCAAGATGTCAAGATGCAACAAGTCAAGCTATTCACTCAAAAGATATTGACGTTTTCTTTGAGATTAGCTGGAGAAGGTATTAGTAGCAAAACAAAACCTTGAATGGATCCACTTCCCTTTCCCTCTCTCTTCTCCAAATGGAGTTTGTAAATCTGTTACCATTGTTGCAGGAGATCCTGTTTTAGCCAAGGAAGCTACAGAAATCGCTATCTGGTCTCTGACCGAAAACGTTGTTTGGTGGAAGCTCTGGGAGAATCTCTATAAGGAGAATCTAGAAGCTAGTGTTGCTATTCTTAAAACGCTAGTAGAGAAATGGAAGGATCATTCCCTCAAGCTATCATCATGGTCACTGAATCATACTCTTGCCCGTGCACGAGACAGCAAGGCAATGAAACAAGTTACTCAAAAGATATTCACTCAAAAGATATTCACGTTTTCTTTGAGATTAGCTGGACGAGGTATTAGTAGCAAAACAAAACCTTGAATCGTTTGGCTTCCCTCTCTCTTCTCCAGATAGAGTTTGTAATCTGTTACCATTGTTGCAGGAAATCCTGATTTAGCCAAGGAAGCTACAGAACTGGCTATTTGGTCTCTGACGGAAAATGTTGATTGCTGGAAGTACTGGGACTATCTCTATAAGAAGAATCAAGAAGCTAGTGTTGCTCTTCTTAAAAAGCTTGTAGAGAAATGGAAGGATCGTTCCCTCAAGCCATCATCATCATCATCAGCTAGTGATACTCTTTGCGGTGCACCAGAAGGCGTGGCAATGGAACAATTCACTCAAAAGATATACACTTTTTCTTTGAGATTAGCTGCAGAAGGTATTAGTAACAAAACTAAACCTTAAATCGATTTCCCGCTTCCCTCTCTCTTCTCCAAATAGAGTTTGTAAATCTGTTACCATTGTTGCAGGAAATCCTGTTTTAGCCAAGGAAGCTACAGAAATCGCTATCTGGTCTCTGGCCGAAAAGCGTGATCTCCATAATAAGAATCTAGAAGCTGTTGTTGCTCTTCTTAAAAAGCCTGTAGACAAATGGATGGATCTTTCCATCAAACTATTATCGTCACCTAGTGATAATCTCACTCTCAGTCGAACTATGAAGAGCTTGAGTCTAAAGGTAATGCCTCTTACTCTTGTAAGTTAAACTAGTTGCACCCTTGTAATTGCATCTCTTGCCTAATCTGTGATGTTTTGTAGAACAAAAAAGCCATCACTGAAGGAGGAGCCAATGGTTTTCTTTTCAAAGAAGCTGACAAGTCGTGCAAAGTGATATGGGGGAGACTCTCTCGTAGAATTAGCAGCCTCAAAGGCGCATGGATTGCTGGTTTGGTTCTAGTTATGGCAGTAGCCGCTAGGACTGTCTATGTTTGAGAGAGTGCTTGGTTTTAATAAGTAGAGGCTACTAGTGAGGGTCTAATTTATATGTTGTTTTCAGTTTACTACAGATAGTCAGATAGCTGCCAAAACACATTATACCAATACAACACCAAACTTCAAAACGTGTGACCACACTGTTTTTCCTCAGAATATTCTTCTTCTGATTTCTGACTTCAAAACGTATGACCACACTGTTTTACCTCAGAATATTCTTCTGTTTTCTGACTTCAAATCGTGTGACAACACAAAACATATTCAGAAAAATCAACATATTTGTCTCCACAACTCAACAAAATAGACACTGAAACTGAAAACAACATAAAAAGTTAACAAGCCTGACTAACCACAAAAATAAAAGTTAACAAGCTTGCCAAGCAGTAACCACAAAAATTCAAGAACAAGAGCTAATTCTTGAGTTTACTACAGATAGTCAGATAGCTGCCAAATCAAAAGAAATAACATTCTTCAAAATCGAAAGCAGTTCAAATCCTAACTCCTCTTTCATCTGAGCCCTAGATGAAGAATGGTTCCAATTCCAATACTTGTTGTTTCTTGCAGTTGACATACACGGCATTATAAACCTCGATAAGTAACCTTGGAAATCGACCATCGAAATACTGGAATACAGCTTCAAGCTTTGGAAAAACGTTCTGAAAATTTAAAAGAAAATCATTTAAAAACAAACTCAGAGAAGATTATTAAAATTGTTTGGTTTAGGAAGAACAAACCTGTAGGGGAGGTTGGTATTCCATGTAGTGTTGCCTAGTGTTCCTTACTGCTCTTAATAATTCTGGAAGACTGGTATCAACATATTTCCCCTTAGATTTAAGATGTGCATCATGTAGAGGATCTAGCTTAGCTGACCAATCTGTACATCCTAAAGCTTGCATTGCAATCTGATCCAGATAATTAGTAAGTATACTCTGATTGTTCGAACACTTAGCTAACTTCCCAATGTGTGATAGAAACTCTATCTTTTTTGTGGAGCTCCAAAACACATGATGTCTAAGACTGCCATGCATACAAACATTGTACAAGAATCTTATTCTGTTTGTTTTCTTCACTGAATAAACATTGTACAAACATTGTACAAGAAACAAACAGAGCAAATCCTGGCAGACAACTATGGCTATTCAACCTACCAGATCCTTGCGTCTAAAACTTATCAGGTAAACAACCCTAACCATTTACTTATTGGTTTTCTTTTATGAACTATGTAAATGATGTTTATAAATTCTCCACTACCTTATTTCCCACCTTATAAACAGTGTTTATAAACTTTGCATGGATGTCAAAAAAGGGATTGCTCACTTGCATTCCATGCAAATAGTTCACAGAGACTTGCGTCCCATGAACATCTACATAGTTAAAGATTCAAGTGATATAAGGGCAAAGATCGGGGACCTGAGGATTTCTAGGAAAGATGGTGATAGTGAACTGTTGAGTTTACCGAATAAGAAGAGGACTAATGGTTGAAAATCACATGAACAAATCAAAAAACCAGAAGATGCTGAAACAGAAAAATCTGATATGTTCAACCTTGGAACACTTTTCTATTTCACTCTCACTGGTAAGCATCCATTTAAGATGAATGATTTAAAGATCGAGAAAAATCCACTTACTCTGAAGGAATTAGAAGCCAGTTCTCCTTCTCCTTTTCCTAAAGCTCATAGCCTGATCAAAACATTGGTGAACCCACTCCCAGAACTACGGTATTGTTCTATTTTTCTTTGTGATTTTTATTAGATTTGATTTCTATTTCACAGCAATAAATGGATTTGATCATTTTTATGACATTTGATTTCTATTTTTCTTTGTGATTTTTATTAGATTTGATTTCTATTTCACAGCAATAAATGGATTTGATCATTTTTATGACATTTGATTTCACGTATCTGCAGTCTTAGTCAGGGCCGGTCCTACCATTTATGTGGCCGAAAGCATATTTGGCTTTGAAAAAAACAAAATTAAAAAAAATTAAAAACATCATCCATAGGGACTCGAAACTGAGAGAGTTAACATTAACTGCAAAGGTTTTACCACTAGACTATTGGGACTTTTGGAAATGTGGTCTCATTGTTTGCATTTATAATTTGTGGCCTAAAGCATAAGGCTTTAGCTGCCTTATGGACGGGCCGGGCCTGGTCTTAGTCCACAAGAAACCCTTAGACATCATGTGTTTTGGAGCTCCACAAAAAAGATAGAGTTTCTATCACACATTGGGAAGTTAGCTAAGTGTTCGAACAATCAGAGTATACTTACTAATTATCTGGATCAGATTGCAATGCAAGCTTTAGGATGTACAGATTGGTCAGCTAAGCTAGATCCTCTACATGATGCACATCTTATGTTGATACCAGTCTTCCAGAATTATTAAGAGCAGTAAGGAACACTAGGCAACACTACATGGAATACCAACCTCCCCTACAGGTTTGTTCTTCCTAAACCAAACAATTTTAATAATCTTCTCTGAGTTTGTTTTTAAATGATTTTCTTTTAAATTTTCAGAACGTTTTTCCAAAGCTTGAAGCTGTATTCCAGTATTTCGATGGTCGATTTCCAAGGTTACTTATCGAGGTTTATAATACCGTGTATGTAAACTGCAAGAAACAACAAGTATTGGAATTGGAATTGTGGATATTCGTCTTTGCAGGGATAGTAAGCTGACAAGGCTTTTACGGGACTCTCTAGGAGGAAAGAAAAAAACTTGTATAGCAATCTCCCCATCTGCTCATTCCCTAGAAGAAAACTTAAGTACTTTGGATTACGCCTATCGTGCCAAGAACATCAAGAACAAACCCGAGGTTTGGTTTACGCTACCATATCTGATCTTTATTTATCAATGTATCCTTTATTTCTATCCTTCTAAGTTCTAACCAAACGTGTCTCTGCGGGCAAACCAGAAATTATCCAAGGCTGTGCTGCTTAAAGACCTTTAACAGAGGCTTTAAGCCTTTCTCTTCTCAGTTTCTTACTACATCAGCAACAGAGGCTTATGCAGTCGCTCAGGACATCCACAATTCACTTAACGAACAGAAGAAGCTCTTAGCACTTGCTGCAAGACAACAAGAGCAGGTGCTGTAAAAATCATTTGCTGGTTTCTTGTTAGTTTTCTGAAAAGTCAACTGAGTTTTCAACTTATCCAGGGCTTGGTCAGAAGCATGCGATCTGCTCAAGAAATTTCCAATTCAACTTCAACCATTTTCAGTAACATCTACAACCAAGCTCACGACGTGGTGGAAGCTATTAGAGCAAGTCAAGCAGAGAAATCAAGACAGCTTGATGCTTTTGAAATGAAGTTTAAGGTGAGCTGATACAAACTCTTAAAGACTTCAATTATAAATGTTCTGAGAGGTTCACACAAACTCATCATCTTTACTATAAACAGGAAGAGGCTGAAAGAGAGGAGAAACAAGCCTTAAATGATATCAGTCTGATATTATCAAAGTTAACTTCAAAGAAAACTGCAATGGTGAGTCTTTAACCATTAATAACAGCATTACGCTTTAATTATTCATCTCTGATGCATCAAGCAATATCAGGGAACATGACATACAAGAAGAGAAGAGATTGTATGAACAAATGGCTGGTATGCAGCAAGTCTCGATTGGTGCAAAGGAGGAATTGTGTGACTATCTAAAGAAAGCGAAAACCCACTTCACGGAAAACACAATAGCTTCAGCTGAGTCTTCCACAGTCATGGACAGTTACCTTGAAGATTGGTACAAATTCCATCTCTCCACTGCTTTCGATTCAAACCTCTCAATTAGTTTACATTCCGTCTTCTCATACAAACATTGTATTTATTGCAGCTTGGGAAGGGCCAATGATTCTAAAAAGTTGTGGGAGACCACTGAAACAGGCATAAAGAACCTTAACACGAAGTATCAACAAGAACTTAATGTCACAATGGAGTAAGTTTTTTCGTTCTGTATCCATGCTTCTCTCTGTTTCCACATCATTTCACTGAATAAACTCTCTACGTATAGGGACATGGCAAAAGAAAATGAGAAGGTGCAAGATGAATTTGCATCCACATTTTCCTCAATGGATGCTAAATTTGTCTCTAGGACTAATGAACTTCACGCAGCTGTTAATGGTAACCACAATAAATCTTTGTTCCATTCCCTACTCAAGAACTGCTTTTGCACTTCAGGAAGAAAACGTCCTAATCCTTGGTTTTACAGACTCGTTGATGCAAGACCGGGAGAACAAAGAAACAACGGAGGCTATAGTAGAGACTTGCATGAACCAGGTCACATTATTGCAAGAGAATCATGGACAAGCCGTATCAAACATTAGAAACAAAGCAGAACAGTCTCTCATAAAAGACTATCAGGTACTGAAGCAATCATAACAACCATAAAGATGGAAAATATATAGTGTGATCTATATGTGTATATATTAATAGCAAAGCTTTTGATACAATGACCAGGTTGATCAGCAGAAGAACGAAACACCTAAGAAACAATCCATAAATGTGCCAAGCCTGGCTTCGATTGAGGAAATGAGGACTTTGTTTTCGCAGAATACACTCAGCGAAGATCACACAAGTAATGTGGAGAAAAGATCAATAAAAGAAGGACTTGACGAAGCAAACAACAGAACTCCATTCTTGGAAGTAAACAAATGAGTAAAAAAAAAAGCTTATGTTCATCAACTGGATGAGTTTAGAATATGAAGACTGTGTAAAGGTTGTTATGTAGTACGCAAGCTTATGTTGTTATGTAGATTGCTGAATTTTTCAGATTTAGGGATGACGTTTCCGGTTAAATTGGCTAGTGTTCTCATTTTAAGTCAACCAAATATGAAAAAGGAAAAGTAAAGAGAGAACAAAAAGAACACAGGACTTTGCATTGCTTCTAGGTTCTACAATAAAACATAATAGTCAAGAATAAGCACATATATCTCTAATTTACTACTTTTTAACCTTGACTTGCTCTTCCATAAAATACAATTGCTATCGTCAAGAATCCGTCACTAGTGACGATTTCAATACGTCACTAGATGAACAATGTATCAAAAAGGCTTTAATTTGGTCTCAAGTGCATGTGTTTGACCAAATTGAATTTTCTCTTTGAACATGGTGAATTGGTGATGATTGTATTCGTACTTGGATCTGAAGATTAGTTTTGTATTTTTGCTTTGCGCAAGTTTGAAGATTTAGTAATGTTTGTTTTACTATACAATAAAATATGAAAACACTTTACCAAAAAAAAAAAAAAACTTATTTAGAGCTCTTTTTCCAATGATTAGTCTGGAGTAAGTTGAAATCTTTGATTTAAGAAAATTTGATTAGGATTCAGTTTAAACTAAATATATATATATATCGATGGTTAGGTGTTGGTTTTAATTATTAAGTAATGACAGTGGCAAGCAAGTCCATGAGAAACCAAGTTGCTAGATTTATTCTGTGTTGTGTACACATTTGTTGACTATGCTACTTTTGTTAGATTCATATTTTTAGGTGTAGAAGTTTCTAAGAAGTGAGATCTTATTACTGGAAAAGACGATATTACCCTTATTATTCAACACTCGTGGTATGCATTGTGCCGGCGGTCGAAGGGTAGTGATAATGAAAATGTCAATTTGTCTCAAGTCAAAGAATCAGTGCTCTGGTTGTTGTCTTAGAATATTAGTTTAGACGACTTCTTTTGGTCAAACTACTAGAAAGTCAAAACTTTTAGGTAATTGCTCTTGTATAAATTATACATTACTTCTAAGTTCTCAACCTTCATTACAAATTCTCTCAATTCAGGTTTCTTTTCTAACAAGCAAAAACTCCAACCTTTAGTTCTTTTCTTTTCTTTTTTGTAACCCTCTCAAATCTTAATTTACTTTGCTTTCTTAATTCTCAAAATCTTACCAAACCAACAAAAAAAAATATGAAGAGAGAAAGATCTGATTTCGAAGAATCCATCAAGAATCTTGACATTGCTAAATGTCTGATGATACTAGCACAAACCACCATGGTTAAACAGATCGGTTTGAACCAACATACCGAGAGCCATACAAGCAACCGATTCGAATGCAAGACGTGTAACCGGAGATTTTCTTCGTTTCAAGCCCTTGGTGGTCACCGGGCAAGCCATAAGAAGCCAAAGCTCACCCTTGAGCAGAAGGATGTCAAACCTCTTAGCAACAATTACAAAGGAAATCATACGCACGAGTGTTCCATATGCGGTCAAAGTTTTGGGACCGGACAGGCTTTAGGTGGTCACATGAGACGGCATAGGTCAAGCATGACGGTCGAGCCATCGTTCATCTCTCCGGTGATTCCTACCATGCCAGTTTTGAAACGATGCAGTAGTAGCAAGAGGGTTTTGTGTTTGGATTTGAATCTAACTCCGTTAGAGAATGATCTTGAATATATTTTTGGGAAGACATTTGTCCCAAAAATAGATATGAAGTTTGTTGTTTAGTTTTTTTTTTTTTTTTTTTTCTCTCAATCATTTGCTTTGTAATTCCCATTCTTTTAATTCTTTAAAGATTAGTGTCAAGAATCTTCAAACGTTATCTATGTTCTTGGTTATGTACTCTGTAGACTGTAAAAGTAAAATTTAACTGAATGATTAATTTCCATTCCTGGAACACGTACAACATGCTCAATTGCTCATTAGCGGGCCAAATTTAAGGCCCAACTATGCCTCAGTCAGGAAATATAAAACTGAAGCATAATTGTAGTATGCAGGCGGTTTGGCATGTACATATACATGATAGGATAATAGTATGCAAAAATATAGATGTTTAAGACGTGTCATTTCACAAATTTGCTTATTATTCGTACTATATGTTACTAATGAAAATATAGTACGCATATTTTAGGACTAATGATTTTATTTCTTTTAATATATGAAACATTAGTCTTTCTTTCGCCGACACTATTAAGCGGATGTTTTGTTTTTTTCCGATAAAAAGCTTAGGCAGATGTATGCAGTATGCAGGCGATAGTGAGTTTCTTCACTTCCTCGTATCCAAAGGCTAATTGCTAAAAAAAATTTATAGAAGAACCAGGATATTCTCATATTCATTCACTTGCCGAGATCGCCAAAAGAGAAGATATATGATCATTATACAAAACTCGAAAAGCTCTCATAAATTGAAACACATGCGAGCGACTACATAGACTAATCCATATTTCCCAAACAAAACTCATCAGACTCTTTATTAACTTTTACAACAAACATGAACCCTTTTAGCCATCCAATTTAACCTAAAACATTCATTAGTAATCATTAATTAATTTATTTATACATTTATATATCCGAGCCAAAAGAGAAGAGAACAAAACCTAGAGGGTTAGGGTTCTTGTGCGATAAATCTGATTTCTATGGGGGATGAGAGCGATAAATGTGATTCGATGAGGGATGATGACGACAGATGTGATTCGATGGGGGATGATAGCGATAAATCTGATTCGATGGGGGAAAATTATGTGTATGATTTAGAAGGTACGAAGCCAACTCTGTAAATTTATTTAAGGATCTATAGAGATATATATAAATCCCTAAGTTTGGATAATTTGCGGTCTCAGATTGGAGAACTACGTTGGAACCTGTGGATCTGGAATACACTGATGAGGATGATGTTGATGGGACAAGGTATTATCCTAGTATAAGACGCCGTGCAGATGAAGAGAAGATCTCGCCGGAGGATGAGTATCACCTCATGGAGAAGCAAGTCGAAGAGTCCAAGGTCAGATTTTAGTGAGTCAGTTTCTTTATCTACTTGGAAAATGTTGTTGATTCATCTTGTGTGTTTGTTTTTTAGGGTTTTGACATTGATTTCACCAAGTTCCGCTGCGTTTTCAATTACAAACTAGCTGATCTCGATCTTGAAAACCAGTTCGTTTATGAACCAGAAACCACCAGAGGGTTATTAGACAGGCTTTCTCGGAATTCCCTTAAGAGATTCAATAAAACAAATAGTACAAATCATGAATTTGTCAAGGTTATCAAAGCCAATTATCACTTCACTGCTGGCATTATGTTTTTCATTACCTTTGAAGGTAAGTTACTTAACGATGATGACTCAAAACTGTTCCAAGCTAAGATCCGCTATTGCGGTCGTACCATCGATATTGTCTCATGCGAACTCAAACCTGAGAAAAAAGGTAACTCCATCATTGCTCTTATCTTTTTTTTCTCTTGTCTGTTGAGATCAATTTGAAACTGGTTATAATATTGTATTTGTATTTGTTTTTGGTAGTTCACTCCATTGAAGCTCCGGATAAAGAACATCTCAAGAAACCAAGGTATATATATCTTGTCTTTTTTACTTTGATGAGTCTTTTCCTTTCTCTGTCTTCTCTCTTAGGGTAGGAGGTTTTTCTTACACTGCTGAAAGTTTTTTTATTTTATTTATTGATATCCTCAGATTGACTCTGGAGCCATCTTATGTCTAATACTTGGGGTGGGTGATCAGACAGACGACGCAAGCACTCTTGTGATAATTGACCTAGTCTATGTTATGTAATGACACTTGTACTACTTTTGCTATTTGCCCTGTTCGTTTTCTTAACTTCAGAGTCCCAAGTTCTCATCTGTTTGTTGCTCAAAACTTTAACTAAGAGTTCAGACTCTATGTTTTATCAAAACATTTTTAAGCTGTGTGTGTGTCTTTCTAAAGTTAAATATTAGCCGTCCTAGTAGAAGTGGATATTTTCGGCCCTGTTCGATGTTTAAAATGGTTTTGATTTTGTTAAATTATTTACCCAACTGTTTTAACTAATATTTTAGACTTGAAAATATCAATTCTTAAAACTTTTTCTTGTCAAATTCTTACTGTTGGTGTAAGAATCCCGATCCACAAAGTAGAGATTTCAAAATATTTTACCAATCTAAGACAAACCGAATCCTTTTAACCAAATTCATTTTACAAATCATTGATTAGGGTTATGGACTTGTGCATCCATAGTTTGGCGTCGTTTGTGGAGACATGATAGTCTAACTCTTTTGATCAGACGCAAGCACTCTTGTGATAATTGATCGAGTCTAGTAATGACACTAGAGTCCCATGACTTTCTAGTCAGATCGTTCCTGCGTTTCGGATATGAAGTCTCATTCGAAGCTTTAGACAAAGGTGCTATTGAGATATTGGGCCCTTATGGTATCTCGTACACAGGTTCTCTCATCTGTTTGTTGTTCAGAACTTTACTACGAGTTCAGACTATGTTTTCTCAAAACCCTTTTAAACCCTTTTAAAAGTTGGAAGTGCGTATTCGAATTAGCCTCAATTATGATTCTCATTCTAAAAAATTTTGGTGGTTCTTTCCTAAAATCCCATTTTTGAGCCAAAATAGAAGAGTACAAAACCTAGCGGGTTAGGGCTCTTGTATTTGTTCATAAACGCAAAGCGATAGATCTGATTCGATGGGAGATTATAGCGATAAATCTGATTCGATGGGAGATGAGATCGATAAATCTGATTCGATGAAGGATGATAGCGATAGATCTGACTCGATGGGGAAGATTGTGGGGAAGATTATGTGGAAGATTTAGCAGGTATGAATCCAACTCTGTAAATTTATCTATCTACAGATATATAAATCCCTAAGTTTGGATAATTTCCGGTCTCAGATTGGATAGATTGGATGGAACCTGTGCATTTGCGATACACGGATGAGGATGATGTTGATGGGACAAGGTTTTATCCTTTTATAAGACGCCGTGAGGATGAAGAGAGGATCTCGCCGGAGGAAGAGTATCTCCTCATGAAGAAACAAGTCGAAGAGTCCAAGGTCAGATTTTAGTCAGTCAGTTTCTTTATCTGCTTGGAAAATATTGTTGATTCATCTTTTGTGTTTTTAGGGTTTTGACATTGATTTCACCAAGTTCCGCTGCCTTTTCAATTACACACCAGTTGATCTCGATCTTGAAAACCAGTTCGTTTTCGAACCAGAAACTACCAGAGGGTTATTAAACAGGCTTTCTCAGACATCCCTTGAGAAATTCAATCAAAAGTATACCAGTAATTATGAGTTTGTCAAGGTTATCAAAGCCAATTATCACTTCTGTGCTGGCATCATGTTTTTCATTACCTTTCAAGGTAAGCTACTTTCCGACTCTAAACTGTTCCAAGCTAAGCTTCGCTTTTGCGGTCGTCTCACCGGTTTTATCTCATGCCAACTCAAACCTGACAAAAATGGTAACTCCATCATTCATCTTATCTTTTTTCTCTTGTCTCTTGAAATCACTGGTAATAATATTGTATTTGGCAGCTCACTACATTGAAGCTCTGGAGAAAGAAGATCCCAATAAGAAACCAAGGTGGTTTATATATATCTTGTCTTTTTTACTTTGATCAGTCTTTTCCTTTCTTTGTCTTCTTTCTTACGGTAGCAAGGTTTTTTTTACACTCTCCTGAAAGGTTTTTTTCTTACTGATATCCTCAGATTGACCCTGGAGCCATCTAATGTCTAATACTTAGGGTGGGTGATAAGACGCAAGCACTCTTGTGATAATTGACCGATCGAGTCTATGTTATGTAATGACACTTCTACTACTTTCGCTAATTTATCTGTTCGTTTCTTGGCTTCAGAGTCCCAAGTTCTCATCTGTTTCTTGCTCAAAACTTTAACTTAAGAGTTCAGACTCTATGTTTTATCAAAACGTTTTTAAGCTCTGTGTGTGTCTTTCTAAAGTTGAAGTTCGAATTCGAGTTCGTTAAATATTAGCCGTCTTAATAGAACTGGATATTTTCGGCTCTGTTTGATATATGTTTAAAATGGTTTTGATTTTGTTAAATATTTTACCCAACTGTTTTAACAAATATTTTAGACTTGAATATTATTTTTTTCTCTCTTTCTTTTCAAATTCTTATTGTTGGTGTAAGAATCCCGATCCACCAAGTAGAGAAAGTAGGTCCAAGCAAACACAAATTAGAACCGATCGAGGCTCATGGATCATTTCGTGGGTAATCTCGGATTTAAGTCTTACTGTAAGAAGATAATTAAAAAAAAAAAAATCAAAACGGCAAATCAAACGGGATTAAGTAGAGAAGATCGAACCATACGGATTGATTATGGGGTGAATGAGGACATATAGTAGTTAGTATAAGCAGTGACAACTTCGAATATTACACACTTTTAGCACTAGATCTCTTACTTGTTCACTCGACGAACTCAGTCTTTGTACTCTTGTAATCTTTCCTATTCATTTCCAAACTCAATTCAGTTCATTCGAGTTCTCTATCTTTTATTCAGAGCAATTTCAAATTTCAAAATATTTTACCAATCTAAGACAAACCGAATCCCTTTAACCAAATTCATTTTACAAATCATTGATTATGGTTATGGACTTGTGCATCCATAGTTTGGCTTCGTTTGTGGAGACATGATAGTCTAACTCTTGTGATCAGACGCAAGCACTCTTGCGATTACTCTTTCTTTCCCCACTATTAAGCGGAAGCTTTTCTCCGATAAAAGGCTTTAAGCGGATGTTTTTCATTAGTAATCATTATACGTACGTATATATATCCGAGGAGTATTAATGTACAAACAAAACTATAAGGAAAATGCGAAGAGTACAAAACATAGAGGGACTGCAGAACAATTAAAAGAGAAGAAAACAAAATTAAAGGGTTAGGGTTCTTGTTGTGTTCACAAACGCAAGGCGCTATATCTGATTCGATGGGGGATGATTATGTGTGTGATTTACCAGGTACGAATCCTACTCTGTAAATTTAGTTAAGGATCTATACATCTAAGTTTGGATAATTAATTTGCGGTCTTAGATTGGAGAACTACGCTAGAACCTGTGCATATGAAATACACGGATGAGGATGATGTTGATGGGACAAGGTATTATCCTTGTATAAGACGCCGTGAAGATGAAGAGCCTAAGATCTCGCCGGAGGATGAGTGTCTCCTCATGGAGAAGCAAGTCGAAGAGTCCAAGGTCAGATTTTAGTGAGTCAGTTTCTTTATCTATCTGCTTATAGAATGTTGTTGATTCATCTTGTGTGTTTGTTTTTTAGGGTTTTGACATCGATTTCGCCAAGTTCCGCTGCGTTTTCAATTACAAACCAGTTGATCTCGATCTTGAAAACCAGTTCGTTTTGGAACCCGAAACCACCAGAGGGTTGATAGACAAGCTTTCTCGGAAATCCCTTAAGAGATTCAATGAAACAAATAGTACAAAATATGAATTTGTCAAAGTTATCAAAGCCAATTATCACTTCTCTTCTGGCATCATGTTTTACATTACCTTTCAAGGTAAGCTACTTAACGATGATGACTCAAAACTGTTCCAAGCTAAGGTCCACTCTTGCGGTCGTAGCACCGATATTATCTCATGCGAACTCAAACCTGAGAAAAAAGGTAACTCGATGATTGGTCTCTCTTTGTAATTTTGTCTTTTGAGATCAATTTGAAACTGGTTATAATATTTGTCTGTTGACGACCAGCTGCACCTCCTTCTCCTCTTTCAGCTTTGTAGATATATAAATCAATCGCATGTATGTAATTTCTCGTCTTTCAACTACGTTTCATTGATATCTTGTTGTCAAGTAAATCGATCGATGCATCGACCAATATGTTTGAAAACAACTGATCGATGCAGGAGAAGATAAGGCGTTGCAGATCGGAGCCTAGTGTTTCGTTGTATCCGAAGCATGTATACTGTTGTGTGAGTCGCAATACGCTTTAACTTTGAGAGGTATTTGGAAAAGCTGGTGACAGCCACAAGCTAAGGAAAGATGAAACTTGGTACAATGTATTTATTTTCATGCTCATAACATTGTAACAGATCAAATATCACAAGTAAACAGCAGCAGAACGGATAAACTCGTTTCTTTACTAATACCAAAGATATAGCAAATGCAACAATAAAATCAAGGTCATACATGCACTCGCTTCTAATAAGGCAATAATAAAAACATTACAATAAGTAGCATTCTAATAGTTGACAAAAAAATTAACACTATAATAAAGTTGGCTTCAACCGAAAGGTTAATTTTGCGTGTTGAAGAGAGTCTAGGGGTTGTTATTGGTTTATTAGTTTGTAAATCCATATAGAATTTGAAAATCTCTATTAATTATGAAATCAAGATATATGGATTTTGAAATAACATGTGTTTACCCATGGATTTGAATCCTTCTATTTTACTCTTTCAATTCCATTCAAATCCATTTAAAACATAATTTGGATTCTCAAATCCAAAAACAAATGACTAAACGAATAACAAAGGATTTTAACTAGTATTTATAATTCATAGAACCAATAACACATGATTTTAATTAGGATTTTAAAATCAATGATTGAATAACAAATGATTTTTGTTTGGATTTCTAATTCCTTATAAATCCATGAACCAATAACCCCTTCTAAGGTCCTCTATTTTGGAGCACGCAATTAATTGCCAATTTTAGCGACCAATTAAAAAGAGTTTTAGTAACATGTGATAGCCACCACTTCTCATCAACCATTATCATCACATGGTCCACATCTATAATATACTAAATACTAAATATATTCATGCGAAGTACAAATATATAAAAGACAAACATGAATTATATGCATGCGCGGCTTCAAACATGATGAATCATTTTATAATATTGTAGAATGTAGTTCGATGTATCAAGTTTTGATTCTGAACATTTGGTGACTTAAGTTTATTGAAGGTCTATGTTTTAACTTTTAAGGGACCCGCTGGTTTAGCTTATATGTATGTAGAATGCATGCATCAAATTTGGATGACTTTTGGAATCGTTACAAGGACAATCGTATGACAATATATAACACATAGCCAAACATGGATTCATCATCGTCCATGCATATGAGATAACACACTTGTTTCCCAGCATCGGATATTCGTATATATGCCTAATGCATTCTCCACTAGTTAATCTGTCAAATGCTCGTTAGAAATTGCTCAACTCTATTGCTTAGTAGTAATAGGCCAGTTTTGTGTGTGACCACCACTAAAATTGCATAATCTTAAACAATACATAAATGAATAGCATTGAGGGATTTATTTTTGGGTGCATGAAATGCTCAACTCTATTGATGCATGAATCACGTATATCATATTAACGTCCATATATATATATATATATATATATTACTAGCTAGAATGAATAGGTCCTATTAACTAATACTCGGAATATCCCACTCATTTCAACAAATCATTGGTTAAATACTTAATTACTTCACCAATAAGATTAAATTAATACTTACATGCTTATTTATCTATATATAATTTAGGTCGGTGGTGGTGCTTTCCAAAATTTTAGGATTTTAGGAAAGATGGAAATCAACCCCAACGAACCCGATGGTCCAAATTCGATTAATTGTCTGCATTATAGAGATCGTAAACGCATTCTTTATTGGTCTAAGTGGGTTGTTTAGTCATCAAAATAATTAAATTAATGAGATTAATGTAATGTTCTTATATTAATTAAACATATAATATAATTAATATCAATATATTGCTTGATTAGGCTAATCATAAGAGGTTTAAATCATACTCTGCTTTGGCATGAAGTGCATTTCATGTGATTCTCGTGGGAAAAAGCGGGAGATCATTCACGTCATTGCTTAGCTAGTTACTATTAACCGAATGTCAATTAAAAGCTCATTGAAACTCCTAATTCAAAATACTAATTACTGGCCATGGATCATATATATATATCATATAAATGTCATCATAACGGTAAAAGAGTCAAATGGCCAAATCAATAGGATCAATATACCAATTGTTTTTGGATAATTGTGCATGATATAGTAAACTCTAGTATGACGCAAATATTTTTTCATGAAACTAAACTAGCTTCGGCTACGCAACCCAAATCTCAGCAATGTGATTGCTCCCAACCATAACCACACTCATAGCAATCGAGGTCCTACCACAATCACACCATACTAAAAAAATATAATTATAATCTTCAGTTTTTTATATATAATTAATGTGTTTTTTTGTTTCAGTAATTTATAATCTTCAATAAGTTGATTAATTATATATTTCTATATTTGGAACTAAAATGTTTTCTGTTTCAGTAATTTATCCCATAGTGTGCTTTTCAAAAGAAACTTCTAAGGGAAATAAAAAGTGAACAAGAGTCTTAAGAAAATATCTACCAACAGCTAAATGGTTTTTAGATGGAAAGTTCTAAGAATAACGTGGATTAGAATTATATCACACTCAATTAGAATGAGAGCGATATTAATCACGATTCACGCATATTAAAGAGGCATAATTAAGAAAAGTGGGTCACTCACTTGCCTGCCAAAGCTGGCCATATGAGAGCACTTTCTATGAGAGTAGTGGTACCAACTTCCCTCTCTACACAATCATTGGTCTCTCAACTCTATCATCAAAAGAAACATTGATTAATGGGTTTTTTCTTCTTTATTAATTAGACTGTTCTTCAAAAATTAAATGAGCTTTATAGAATGTGTTATATGAAGCCGTATAACATATCCGATTTCTAACTAAGTGTATACGTACTAAAAAATATATGAATACGTTACACATGAATATGGAGTTGGTTGAAATGGACTCATCAGATAAATTTGATGCAAAACTAAAGTTGTCATAAGATAACCGAAGGACATGCATAATTAAGTTTGGTTGTAATGCTATTTTATAGCTTGTGTTTACGTTGTTACATAATAGTAAATAGTTAGATTTTGAATTAGATATTTTACATCTACCTAGTACCAATTTATATCTGAATTTTCTTCTGCAATATATTATCATGCATGGCAATTTTACTTTACATCTCATTAGCTTTCATTATTGTTTTACATTCTTCCTTTTTAGAAATATAGATCGGACATGTGCATCTATTTGGGAACTTAACTTTTAGCAAGTGAGTTTAATGATTAGAACACTTGATTGTAGTCACTTATCACTAATCATATCGTTACAACTCTAATAATTGGATTATACTTTCGTTTTTCTTTAGCCTTTTTCTGATTTTTATTCTCCTTTTGTAGATTAACTAACCAAACCCACTTTTCATTGTTTCCATTCCATCTCAAACGCTCGTTGGCTTTTTTCGATATTTAATTAATTAACATATTCTTCCAATCATATTTTAATATTGTCAGGGATTTGTTGATATAATAAAATGTAAACATATAGATTTGGTACTGTTTTAAAAAGAAAACTTCAGCGCTCGTAATTAGAAGTCGATCGAGCAAGAATCATCTCAATAACAAATTGAGTTTTACAGAATGACTATTATCAATAACTCAAATTAATGATTAGTATAACTTTGCAAAAATAATTCGTGATTACTGATTAGTGTACTAACATATACATGTATTCTTGTTTTATTAGCCAAAAAATTCATTCTGTAAAGGTTAGAAAATCAATATTTTCCCCACAAATATTGATTTTCTAACCTTTATTTTTTATCGATTGATATTATAAATCGTAAACTTCAAGACGCGATGATTGAAAATTTATTAGATTACTATTGGTTCATAGTTATTGAAAAAATATTAATATAAAAATAATATTAAAAAATTAAACAATGATTGTTTCTTAATGTAGGTAAAAAACTCGAGACATCAATTTAGTAAGAACAGATGGAGTATAACTTATCAAAAGTATTTGTGATGATATAGATGTTCTTTATATGCGAATTTGCATGTAGGTGGTAACACATTGATAACAATACCATAAATGATTACCCTAAAAATCATGATATGATCATCATAATTTTATATATCTTATATAAAAACACTAATAATTATTTATTTTCATCAAAATAAATATGTTAATTTTTAATCTGTTACAACATCACATCAATACGATTTTCTTCCAATAATTTATAGACTTTAATTTAGTTACCTCAAGATTAGTGACTTAACAAACGAAAAAGTTACATATATATATATATATATATATATATATATATATATATGTGATACTGAAATATATGATAGACTATGACTGTTTAAAGTTTACACATGGGGTTCTTTTCTCATCTAAGCATAAGTTCACAAAACACAACCTATTGATTACTCATGTACTCTCTATTTTTTTGATGTTTATTTTATGGCTATACTCTAGTTGTTCGGGTCTAAATATTTTTTTGTTGTTGGCAAAAACAACACATATTTTATTGTTGTTACTCGGATCTAAAATTTTGTTTTAAATTTAGATTAGACGACACCTAGTAAAACAATTGTGATCACGGGTCAATATCTGCCTTAAATTGTAAACTTGATCAGTATCGCCTAACTAAACTTATAGTATTTGTCCTTTTATGCACTTCACTTGTTTTAGCCCCATTTCTTTTTCAGTCGACCACCTTGGTTTATTACTTAATGGCTGAAAATGTTACTTTAATGACACATGCAGGTAATTAAGAATTTTCTTTTATTACTAAGATTATAGTATTCGAAACATTTTTGTTGTCAAATTTCATGTCTCTACGTTGAGGACAGCTAAATTGTTCCCATGGGGTAGTTTTATTCGCATAAAGTCAACACGAAATCACACATAATCTACCTCCAAACAATATATATGTTTCATCGATATAAATATAGATGTCTTAATCCTTTACCTCCAAAATGTCCAGTGAAAAGTAAAATAGTCCACTTTTTAAAGAGATGATCATAGTCATATATATCTAATCCTTTTTTTTATTCTTACACATGGAGGCACTGTATTATTGAATCCTCGTATAAAAAACAAAATTTAGATGCATTGATGATTCTTAGACTGGCTAATTAAAAAAAATATTTTCAATGAAATGAATGATGACATGACTAGCTAGGATATATAAATGTCTAAAATGTATATCTATAACTAAAATAATTACTTCCTATTATTTTCTTATCTGA